TTTCGTCGCTCTGTCTCTCTCGCGCTGATGGGGCGTTCCGTATAGGTGCGAGCGAGAGACAGAGCGACGACAACGACTCCCGGAATCAGTCTGCTGGCACCGCCGCGGCGAGAGACGCGGAGCCCCTGCTCTCTTCCCTTTGCAGCCTGGTCAGTGCCGTCCATTTGCCGGGGGTGCGAGCAGCGTGAGCGTGAAGGACACAAGCAGCCGTTCTCTCCCCTCCTGGCTGCAGATTCCAAAAGGAATTCGTCGCCGTCTCTCTCGCACTCTTGGGGCGTCCGGTGGGAGTGCGAGAGAGACAGCGACGGAACGTTCCTTCGGAATTGGGCGGCTGGACCTGGCGGCTGGCGGCTCTGCCTCGAGCCAGAGAAGTTGACGGCAACTCTGACTGACGCGCCGCGGCGCAAGTAAACAGACTCGGAGCGGGACGGAGAAAGACAGGCCGGGTCGAGCAGCGGCGGCAGCGGACTCTGTCGTCAGTCGTCCTCGTCTGCAAGCTGCTTCCACACGGTGCCTTCGGCTCTGTCTCTCTCGCCCTCATGCGGCGGATGCGGCCTCCCTTGTAGGTGCGAGAGGGACCGAGCGACGGAACACTGTGCAGAATCGGCCGAGGTGTTCGCCATGCTGCTGCGCGCGGAGAGGACAACCGCCACAGACGTGGGCCAGACCATGCCGGAGGCGGCCAAAACCCCGACGCGTTTTGAGCTCCAGAGTCGCTAAATGGGACTCGAACCGAGCGTGTGACCCACCAATGGATTCCTCTCCGAACGAGGAATCGATTGGTGGGGTCACACGTTCGGTTCGAGTCCCATTCAGCGACTCTGGAGCTCAAAACGCGTCCGGGGTTTTGGCCGCCTCCACCGGCTTCTGGCCCACTGTGCGGCGGCCAAAACTCTGGACGCTTTGACTTGACTTGAAAGGCTAGACCACAACTGATCTTATGCCGGTTCGGGCCCGGTAACTGCCATGCTTGCACTGCACAACATGACATGCCGTCCGTACAACCGCGTTTTGAGCTCGAACCCGAGCGCGAGACCCCAACAATGGATTGCTTTTCGAGCGAGGAATCCTTTGATAGGGTCTCAAGCTCGGTTCGAGTTTTGTCTCGCGACTCTTGGGCTCAAAACGGGTCCGGAATTTTGACCTCCTCCACCGGTTTTCTGGCCTGCTGTGACCCGGCCGCGCCCGCAGCCCCGCAGCCCGCACCGCATACGTAGAGAGCCTGTCTTTCGTTGCGGGTATGGGGTGCCGTGGGTGCGGTGGGGTCACTGCGGTGCCGTATCGTGGCTGGTTCATTGTCATGACGAGTCCTCCCGAAAGGCTCGTTGCCGCGGCATTTCCCAGAAGCCAAAGACACACAGAGAGGGAGAGAGAGAGGGGGGACTTCCCTCCGTGAATCACTCCTGCAGCTCCACCGAGCACCAAGCCCTTCAAGTTCCCGGGCTTAGTGGGGGAAGGCGGCAAGTACGCCGTCCGGGGCGGCTGGCGTCGCTGCCGACCGTCACCTCGGTGGGCGGTCCCTGGCTGCGCGACGCTGCGCGGGGCTGCGGGTCGCAGGGGAAAGCCGCCATCCACCCAAACACGGCGACGAGTAGCGAACTGCGCTGCAGCCCAGCCCACCTCAAACTACTCCTCGCGAGCTGGCCTGGCGCTGCAGCGCGCTGTGGAGGTTTTGACGTCACGTCAGGCTGATCCTGCAGCCTGCCCGCTCTCGATCGATGTCGTTTGGTGGCGACGACGGTGTGTAGTGCACTGTAGTGCACTGCTGCGCCCGTGGACGCAACGACGGCGCAGCAACATGGTGTAGTGTAACAACTACGCTGTCCTCGGACCTTTACCTTTACGGCGCGGACGCCCACTTCCACCTGTTGCCGCCACGGGCTCACGGCGCCGCACCGCCTCATGGGCTCGGCAGTGGAGAGGAAAGCGGGGGCCGGGACGTGCCGGGACGTGCCAATGAGAGAGATGATCACCAGACGATCAGCCGCGGCGATGCACTGGCTGCAGCGCCGGGCCGACGCCGCCGCCCCGGCCCTCCCCGCCACAACGCCCCACTGACTGGGGCAACAGCCTGAGCCAATAGAGCGGCGTGCCAGCTTCTCTTCTCGCAGTGCCGCGACTGCCGCGTGCGGCCGCAGTGTCCACGCTCTCGGTCCAGCGGCAACACGGCCTGGAACGCCTGCACCGCGCCCGCAGACGACGGCAACCTTCCCGCCGTCCGCCAGCCACCGCCGCGCCGCGTCCAGCCGCGACGCCGCGACTAGCGACAGAGGAGAGCGAGAGTGACAAAGAGTGACAGGGTGCTACAGCGAGCGTGACGACGAGTGCGACAGCGAGTGAGACTGTGACAATTACTGTGCGCTTCGTGGAGGACGCCGCGGCGGCCGCCCCCACTCGGCACGTCTAGCATCACTCGACGTCCTGCTGAGAAACCGGGAAACACACCGCCTTTATTAATTCCGAGGAAACCAAGAATTGCCTGGCCAGGCCAATCTTGCAACAATTAACCTAGAGCCTCGAAAAGTCTGGCGGATTCCAGCGGAGTCCCGCTCGCGCTGCGGCCGGGCCAGGACGCCAGGCCGGCCCGCCTGCTGAGCAGCGCGTCGTCGCCCACGCGCGTCGCACGGCCCGACCGGGCGCTGTAGCGGCGCTAGCACCCGGAGGGGCTTGTCGCGGCCGGTGCAAGTTCGCCTGCACGGCCCAGCTCGGCCGCTCTCGGCCCACACAGAGTGCAATTTCACTTGTGCGTACTCGCGGCCAGCGCGGCCAGCCACTCAGCAAGCAAGCACCACGCACCGCCACTGCCTCGCGCCTCGCGCCGCCGACCGAGGGACCGAGGGTCGAGGGTGCCCCGCCTCGCCTTTGTGGCCCCAGCCCGCTCCGCCACAGTGCTCCGAGCGGCCAAGGCCCGGCCCGCCGCGCCACAACGTCGACGTCAATTGGTGCGCGGCCGCCGAAGCCATCAGCCCCGCCAGGCTACGCCAGACGGGCACTCGGTCATGATCCGCTCCACGCCAAGGAGACAGTCGCAACGACGCCGCCCGCCATCGCCGCCGCCCAGCTGCGCGCTGCGCCGGCCGTAATTGAAGCCTCCTCGGTCCCCGACCGACCGCGGCCCCGCGAGCCCCGCGAGCCGCGGCAGTGACCCCGCGATGTGTCACAGTGTGTGTCACACGGCGGCACTGACGCACTTTCCCGAAGAAGCACAAGGTGGTCGCCGCAGTTAGTGCCCGTGCCCCTCGCTGTGCTCGCGCCGCTCGCGCGCCATGGCCGGCCGCCCCCCGCCCTCGCCCCGCCGACGGCGCCCCTTCCCCCGGGCGCTGCTGCCGTCCCCGCGGACGCCCTCGCCGCGCGGCCCCCGCCAGCACCACAGGCACCTGCAGGAGGTGGTGCAGTCCATGGGGGAGCAGTGGACCAGTGAGTATAGTCCGCCTTCCGCCGCAGCATCGGCCGTGACCCATGGCGCACGAATCAACCAATTTTCAGCCTGCAGACTCATCCCGAGAGTTGTTTCCGGCACACAGTGAGCCAGAAGACCGGTGGAGGCGGCCAAAACTCTAGACGCGTTTTGAGCTCCAGAGTCGCTAAATGGGACTCGAACCGAACGTGTGACCCCACCAATGGATTCCTCGGTCGGAGAGCAATCCTGGTGGGGTCACACGCTCTGTTCGAGTCCAGTTTAGCGACTCTGGAGCTCAAAAGGCGTCTAGAGTTGTGGCCGCCTCCACCGGTCTTCTGGCCCACTGTGCGGCACCAGGCGGCACTCTGTCGGGCCGCCGGAGCGTCGCGGCCGCTGCGCGGGTTGGTCGGGTTGGTGCGTTGGTCGTCGGTACCTGTCGGTACCCACGGTGTCGGGTTGCCGCGTGCTCACGCTCTCCCCCTCAAGTCGGGGAGTGTCCGGTTCCCCGTGTATGGGCCACTACGCGGCGCTACGCCGGTGTGGCCACACTGGCCACAGTGTCGAAGCAGTCGAAGCGCGGCTCGGACTTTATTAGCCGCCTGCAGGCTGACTCGGAACTCAGCATCTGTCCTCCTCGCACCCCCTCGCGAAGCCCCATCCGAGTAGGAGTGCGAGAGAGACAGCGGCGAAATGCCGAAAACTGCTGTTTGGAATCAGCCTGCTGCCCAACTCTCTCTGCGCCGCGTGCGGTAGGCCAAAGGAGCCAAGGACCACTGACCTGACCGCTACACGGCCAGACGGCCACCCACGCACACATCACCCAACGTGTTCGTATCCTTATTTCGAACACGTCGCCGGACCAGGCCCATGCGGCTGCCGTTGCAACGGGCAGGATAGGCAACGCAGGACGGAGCCGCCGTCGCCTCGACGCCCACGCGTAGCCCCCCCCCCCCAAAGCTCCTTTCGAATCACTGCACCGACACAGACACTCCGGTGCCGTGTTTATGCCGGCTCGGTGCCAGGACGCCTGCCGCCTGATTTCGAAGAGCCGTTTCGTCGCTGTCTCCCTCGCACCCCCACAGGACGCCCCACGAGTGCGAGTGAGACGGAGCGAACCGAGCATTGGTCGGCGCCAAGGCCGCTGCGGAAGGCTTATCGGCGAAGCGGCGAGTCTGGCCTGCTGTTTGAACGAGCTGCAACATTTAAGCAAACTTAGTCTGCTGCTCTCCTGCACCGTCACCGGCTTTGTCATCATGAGACTTTGGCTGGAAAAGGTTCGACACCGCCACAGGTACCTACCGACCCGGCTCCCGGCTGGTCTTGGAGAACGCCCCCTTACTCCTCCCCCTCCCTCCCCCTCCCTCAAACACGAGCGCTTAAAGTTCGCCCCCTTTGCTGCCAACACTCCCATGCTGACAACGTGCACGACAAGCGCTGTGCGTGACGAGTTCTGGATTTTTAAATCGCATTTTTTGTGCGAAGCTATCTCTTACAGTGAACAGTGACTCCATCACAGCAAATAACAGAAATTCGTGGAATGAACATTTGAAAGAAAATGCTAGTAGTTTCGATTCGCTGTAGTGGTGGTCCTGTATGTATGTGATTTTGGGAGAGTAGTGTGTGTGTGTGTAGGTTGTGTTTACGCTTTCGTGTGCGTGTATATTTTGGCTTGCCGGCGTTTTCATCGTAGATTCCAAAACTTAGTTTCCAACAGAGTGAAATTTGGTAGAGTCTTCTCACAAAACTAGTTCTTGGTGCTCTGCAGCACCGTTTGTGTTTTCTTGTTGCCCTGCATTTCATTATGATCAGTGAAGCTGAAGTCCTTAAGCCAAGCCTTGAGCTAGCCGTAAGATAACGCTGGTGTCACTTCACCTTTCTTGTCCCTCCAAATGACTTAAGATCAACGCAATGGAAGGCGTCTACGTTGGTAAGCTCTGATATTTTTTTATCTGAATGTTTTCGTACAAGCATTTACATTCCATAGCTTAAAGAGACACCTTTGTTTACATAGCGGCTGGAACACCTGTTGAACCATCGGTCTTAGCTCCCACGTACACAGCGAACATCTCTCGAAGTTCCAAAGTTCATCTAAATAACCTATGATCTGCTCAGATTCTGCTGAATCTTTTTGTTCCTGTTTGTTTTAATATTTTGAGATTCTGGTCCTCCCGCACACTGCACCAGGTGACGGGTTATTGAGGTCATCCCTAACCTTATCACCTCAGTAAACTTACTGTTGACTCATGATCATATTCAACACAATTTTTTTTTCAAGCCCAACCCATGTTTATCAGTGTTCCCTGAGACATAGCTGATTCTGTCTTTATTATATTTGTCCTATGTTAATGTCTGTGCGTCCCAAGTTGCACACTTCAAGTAAAAATTTCTGAAAAAAAAAAAGGTTTTATCTTTGGTGATACTTAATTTTAATGATGCTGTACAGTTTAGCTTGTTTCCCCTTCTATCTCTCTTTTTTTTGTTGCTCTTTAGTTTTTTTGAGTAAGTCGATATGATTAATATTTGAAGTGGGGTTCAATTTTAACATAAGACACCTGGGATATGTCTGGGATATCGCATTAATAAAAGTTTCGTTTCCCTTTCATTTTCTTTGGCTTGTTAACTGTATTCTTAAATTTATTTTATCTACGGCTTACATTTTACAATGAATTCATCTACTTTTCCAGTAAAATATTATTTTACCAAGTAAAACAAAAAAATCTAGAATAAACAGTATTGGCACTTTTTTGTACATCATTTTATGAAGTCAGAATTACTGGCACACCTAGTGCCCATTTGGCACGCTCCTTTGCCTGCCGCCTGTTTTCAATAATTGTAATTGCATTTGCACGGCCGAAGGTGCCAAAGGTACGGGGCGGCCTGTGGAGACGCTGCCTTTGTATAACACTGCAAGCGACGGACCGCGTCGAAATGGCTTGTTCTTGTAATAGACCTAACGTTTTGATGGCCGAAGGCCCCGAAGGTGCGAGAGTTACCGAGTCTTGCCATTAGACTGCCAACAGGTCGCTGTGCCAAGAGGGCTCTCCCCCAACGCCCCCTCCCCTTCTCCCTCCCCTCCTCTCCTCCCTCAATCAGCCTGCGTTAAAGGTGCCAGTTCGTGCCTAGTTTCACATCACACACCCCTACCCTCAGTACAGACAAATCAGCAGCAGCAAAGCTGGAACTCGCTGGGAGGGTCCGATGCCCAGTATGGAAGGAGACATGGTAGTGGTGCTCCTAGGTGATAAGATAAAAGCCTCCACCCCTGGCTCGTTTGCTGGTTGAGGGTGTGAACAGCAACATCTGCTCTGCCATGACATCATCTGATGTCTACCCTCTTTTGCACAAATTTGTTTCAAATTTTCCACATACTGTGATAGGTTGTTTCTTACTTTCTTTTTCTCTGTTGCAGATGAACGGGAGGATGTGCAGAAGAAGACCTTTGCCAAATGGGTCAACTCCCAGTTGGTCAAGGTAAATTATTTTTGTCTTATTCATTTTATGTCACAATCTACTCACTGTATTGTCTTCATTGTCTTTTTTTTTTTTTGCAGAGAAATCTTCCACCCATTGGGGATCTTTTTCAAGACCTTCAAGATGGCAACCACCTTCTCACCCTCCTAGAAATACTTACGGGAAAAGAATATGTATGGATAACTTATAATTCCCTCCCCCTCTATTTTACATAAATGTCTTCTTTATTTTCAAACCCTATTTTTCTTCTAATTTTTAGAAACGTGAAAAAGGAAAAATGCGAGTTCATCATTTAAATAATGTCAATAAGGCTCTACAAATTCTGGAGCAAAATAATGTAAGTTACACTATCCATATCCATGAGATCTGAATCCTATTTGTAATTTTATTGTTTATTGTTGCTAAAATTTCTTTACAGGTCAAACTAGTGAATATCAGTAGCAATGACATTGTTGATGGAAGTCCAAAACTTACCCTAGGATTAGTTTGGAGCATCATTCTCCATTGGCAGGTCAGACATTAATCACTGTCAAATGACAATTAAATTTATTTTGGTCTACCACTAATAGTTTTTCTTGTGGTTCACAGGTTCATTATCACCTGAAGGACCTCATGTCAGAACTTCAGCAAACTAATCTAGAAAAGACCCTTCTAGCTTGGTGTAGACAAAACACTCAAAACTATCCTGGAGTAGACATAAAAAACTTTAGTACATCTTGGTCTGACGGTTTGGCCTTCAGTGCCTTAATACACCGATGGCACTCTGAGCTTTTCCAATTTCCTGCAATTTCTAAAATGCACCCAAATGCTCGCCTGGAGTATGCTTTTAGAATGGCTCAGGAACTCCATGGTATTGAAAGATTGTTGGACCCTGAAGGTATTTTGCTATTTTAACTGTAACATTGATAAATAACTGCAGTTCTCAAAACTTCTCACTAATTCATACACATTTTTCTTATTTTCAAGATGTCAACACTTCTCAGCCTGATAAAAAGTCTATTATGATGTATGTCATGTGCTTGTTTCAATCCCTGCCTCATTCTGAGGTTGATGCTGACTGTCTGGACTTCTCCATTCACTCAGACAATAGCTCTCTTGCTTCACCAGTTGTTGAATTGCGATCTCCCGATGCTTTTGTAAGTGATGTTGAAATTAAATGATTGAAGTCTTCACTTTGTTTTATTGGTCTTCAAATTTTATATAAATCAATGTTGCAGAGTGCGGGCATGCTGGGGGTTCCAACTTCACGCCCTTTGAGTATGGCCACAAATGTGTCTGTTGAACTATCAGGGTACCAACGTGCATTAGAGGATGTATTAACTTGGCTTTTGGAAGCTGAGGACAGGCTAACTAATGCCCCTCCAACTACTGGATCACTTCACCAAATCAAAGAACAGTTTTATACGCATGAAGTAATTTTATTTTGACTGACTATATTTTGTCCATTCAATCATTTTACTAAAATATTCATTTTTGTGTTAAACATTCTTTTGTTTCCAGGAATTTCTTTTAGAACTAGCACGTCATCAAAATGGTGTGAGGTCGGTTCTTGAGGAGGGAACTCACATAATTCAAGAAGGTGGCTTATCTCGAGATGAAGAAGATGAAGTTCGTATTCAAATGAAATTACTCAACTCAAGATGGGAAGATTTACGAGTCAAAGCCATGGAGCGCCAAACAAAGTACCTTATTTCAGGATTAAGTAGTGTGAGTTGAACTTTAAACCAAGCTTGTCTAACACAATTTTTTTTTTCAGGATTCATGAGGTCTTGATGCAAAAGCAACAAGAAGAGCTTGACAGCTTCAGGCAATGGTTAACCGTCACTGAAGATAGAATCTCTCGAATGGCTAAAATGGGACCAACACATGCGGATCTTATGAGACAAATTGAACAACATCCTATTCTTCACGCAGACTTAAAAAAGCAGGATGCTTTGGTTGAAGAATTGTCCCATATGGTTGTAGTAGTGGATGATAACAGCCCTGACAGTGGTAAGACCTGCTTCTGCCTCCACCCCCTCTTGGGGGAATCACTCAATGTGCCTTTTTAAAATTCTTTTCCTTTGCTAGCCCAAAACCAGATTTACTCTGTTTGTCATTTTATTTTTGCCTGACAGATGGAGTTTCTCACATGGAAGACCAGATGACGGCTCTAAGTGAACGTTGGTCACACATCCTTAAATGGACTCAAGAAAGGTGGCAACGTTTACAGGAAGTAAACAATGCCTGGGCTGATGTATCTGGCAGATGTGTTCTTCTGCAAGTGTGGTTGGACTCAAAAGAAAAGCTCCTCAAAGGAATGGAAGCAGATCCTGCATTCGAAATTGGACAGGTAAACTTTTTGTGTACAGTTTGTGTAGTTTGTAAGAAAACTATCAACTGAAATATTTCTTTGATGTTCCTTTTTTATTCTGACCTCTATAACTTGTGAAAATCTAAGGTCCTGGAAAGAATTAAAACTCTGCAAACTGCAAGACGCGAAATGGATGCCCAACAATCAAGCTTGGAAAACTTACAAGAAGAAACAACTGAGCTGGATTCAAAATTATCTCCTGGTTGGACCGCTGAGATACAAGAAAAAATTGAAACTATTCAGGATAAATGGGAGGCTCTATCCCAAATAATAGAAGTACAAGCACAAAGGGTATGTTATAACTCTTTGATTGTTTCTTTTATTATCAATATTTCTGTTATGTCCTCTTCGTTATTAGCATGTGTTAATTTTTCTAGATATGCAACTCTGGCTTTGAATTCAACCTTCATGGGGGAACCACTGAAGAAAAAGATACAAGTGCTGCTAGTGAGCCTAAACGGCGTAGAACCGGCACAGTTAAAAAAGTGAAGTTTGAGTCATCGTTAGATCAGTTAAATACCTTCATGGAAAGAACTGACCAACTAGTAGAGCAGGTTACAGCTAATATTAAAGACATTCCTGCAGAGCTTCAACAAAAGCTGGATGAAATAAGCGTAGAGATAACTGTTCGCCAAACAGATCTTCAGAAACTTATCCGGTTAGGTCAGGAACTTGCCATTGAAATGCAAGCAGACGGAGCAGATGATATGTCTGTCTATAATGAACAGCAGAAATGGATGGATGCTGAACAAAGAATGATTCACTTATCTTCCAAAGTCCAGGCAACATGTCAGGCTGCTCAGTATCATCAGGATGTGACCACGGTCAAAAGTGAGCTGTCAGCAATATCAGGACTACTTGATGGCCACCGAAAGTGGCTAGAGAAAATTGATTCTTCTTCCAAAGCTAGTTCCCCATCAGTTTTAGCCGACCAAATGAGGGTCAAATTAAAGTCCATGCGATCACATGATGATCGTCTCCTAAGATTAAAACAAATTACTCAACAGATTTCTGAAAATGATCAAACTGACCAACAACTCATACAGCAAGTCACTGATCTAGGAGATAACTGGACACATCTACAACAAAGGTTAGTTGTCTTGCATTCTTTGGGTTGTTGCTGCAGATTGTTATGTGAAGCATAATTCCTTAACTACTTGTTTTTCTTTTGTAGATATGTTGACCATCAAACTAAACTAAGTGGTGGCTCTGGCTTTGCTGCTGAGAAAGAAGAGGCAGCTGATGTAGTAATGAAACAACTTAAATCACCTTCTCCTGCCATGAAGAAAATTTCTGATTGGGTCAATTCTGCAGAAAGCAACCTTCTTTCTGACCATGTTGTACTTGCAGATCTTGCTGCCATGGAGGAACAATTAAAGAGGTTCCAGGTAGGTTCTGTTCAACTAATAGAAGTACAGTGTTTCTGCTCTGCAATGCTTCAAAGAGAATTTTTCTCCTAGGACCTGAAAAATGAATTGGAGAAAAATGAAAAACTGCTTGACAAGCTTAGCAAGGAAGCAGAGGGCGAAGATTTTGTGGAGCTCAGCACTCGATGCAGTGATATAAAAGCCATTCTACATGAACGTCAATCCAAACTTCAACCTTGTGAGTTATTTATCAGGATTGCTAATGCATATATTTAATCCTTCTAGTTGTATTTTGCTTGTCTGTATTGAATGTTTGCAAAGTATTTATTAGTCAGGTCAGCTAAAAATGTAATACTTTCAGATATTGATACGATGCGTCAGTTCTCAGAAGAAGTAGCTGGATTGACTGCATGGCTTCAGGATGTCGAAAGCTTTTTGCAAGCTGAGAAGCAGCTTCCTGTTGGTGATTTAGCAACCCTTGAGGCTCAACTTGAGCAATCAAATGTACGCAGTATGCTTTTAGCAGTAATTGCTTTTTAAAATTCTTTCCATAAATTTTAATTCATTTTCTTCTGAAATCAATCAACATTTTAGGCATTGCAAGATGATATAGAGACACTGGAGCGCAATGTGCAGAATATATCGGCATCACTTTCTAAACTAAAAGAAAGTGCCACTGATTCCTTTGCCTCTCAGTTAAGTTCTAAACATGAGGCTCTTATGAAAAAGTGGGGAAATGCCGTTGAGGGTGCTAAAAAACACAATGTTAGCTTGAAAAATGTACATGGAAAGAGTCAATCGGTAAGGAAATCTGAAAGAAAGGGTTGCTGGAGGAGTAAATAAGATAGTTGAATGAAATGTGAAGTTCATCTTTACATTATCTAATGTCTAATGTTGGATGGTGCTTAGGTCATATCTGGAATTGAAGAATTCTCTACCTGGTTAGCTGCTCTTGAAAAAGAAGTACCAACTGTTGGAAATGCTTCATCATCAGCAGAATTGTTCCAGTTAAAAGGAAGGTATCAGTCTCTGAAACAGAAAGTTGAAAATCGCACAGAGTCTTTCCGGCAGTTGAATGAAACAGGTAAGACTTTCCCTTTCCAAACATTTTTATTTGCATCACTTTGACACTTTACTCTCTTTATGGTTCATGTGCTTAAAAACTCATTGTTTTTTTTTGTTTAGGAAATGACTTGATGCTGAGTAGTGAGGGACCATCTGTTCAAGAATTGGCCCGTCGTTTCACTCAACTGAATGCCAAGTGGACGGAAGTTACTGACATCATCTTTGAGAAATTCCGTGTTTTGCAAGATGCTTCCCATCAGTATGGAGAATTTAAAGGTGAAATCACAGCAATCATCTTTCTTGCCCCCAAATAAAATCAATAAATTTGAATTAAGTCTTCACTTATTGTACTTCTTTATTGCAGCCCTTGTAGCTCAGGAGATGGATTGGCTTGATAAGCTAGAAAAACGACTCAGGAAATCCCCAAAATCAGCTGCTGATGCAGAAGAAATATCAGAGGAATTGGATGTATGTATTGCTTTTATTTTGATGTGGTTTTGGGTTCCCCCGGGAGGGTATTGTCTACTTTCTTGTGCTTTACAATAAGTTTTATTGGACTGTGGACCACTCTTCATCTTTAAAAGTGCATTAATGCTTACAGTCTAGCTTCCCTAATATTGTCAGCAGTAACATCTGTGCTGTGAGCCTTCTTGCATCTTTCTTTGCAAGAGCAAGTTTGGGTGCGCCAAGTGCTGTGCTCTGTTGTAAAATGCCTGTGTGGATTTGCTGCCTGTGTATTTTCAGGATTTAGAAAACTACATCCGGAACCACCCTGATGCAAGGTTGGCTCGAATTCAAGAAATTGGCCGGGCTTTGGAGGAAGATGGAGTCATGTCGGAAATGGTGAAAGCTGAAGTTGCAGCTGCAACCAATCGGTGGAACCAGCTCAGTCAACAAGTGAGTTACCATGTGTTTCTCTTCACGCTACAAGTTTTAAATTGGACCAAAAATGATAGATTTTTGTCATTGATTGTTGATGTTGACGGTGATGGATAGCATGTTGGTTTCCAAAGTTCTCATTACTTTTTGCCTTTTTGCGTTTTTGCCAGATTGGTGGCATGCCATTGGCCATGGCAAGGGTATCAAGGGGAAGTGGGAAGGATTGGACTGCATGGTGTTGGGCTGGAATCCCCTCTGATCAATAATTGATTTGGTCTGTTGGGAAGAAATTTAGGCAGATACCATATTGGCCTTATGTTTAAGTCAGATAAGTTTTGTATGAAAGGGAACTTTTTCATGCTTTAGTCAGTCTTTTTCTGGGATCAGTCGTAGATCAGATGTGTGTTTGGGAGTTGCCTTTGTGAGGAGCTTGCTTTACCTTCTATCTCTACTATTATATTATGATAGTTAGAAGAGAAAGCTCATGTTGGGTGCCTTTTATGTTTTAGTGGCCAGTGGTGTAGGAATGGACTAAGTCCTTGATTAAACAATTTCATCAAGGTTATGGTTTAGTAATGTGTCCTTTTTTCAAGTAGTTTTAATTTATGTCTGATTGCTTTGTTTCTGTTTCGCCTGCCTCACTAGGCTAGAGACCGCACAGTCTTGTTAGAAGTTTCGGCTGCTGAGGCACAGGAATCTGAAGGTCAAATATTGGAGCTACAGGACTGGTTAACTCACGTAGATGCCTTAATAACAGCTCGTCTGCAAAATGACATATTTGCGGATGACTTACCAGATGATGATCAGGTTTGTGTTGAAAACATGTTGTTCCACTACAGTAACATGGGCAACTGTAGAAAGAAAACGACAACTAATTGCCTTTGTTGTGATATTTACCCAATAGTGTTGCATTTACTGTTTAGTATGAAACTTGTGATGTTCTTTTGAAATTCATGTTCAAATAACACCTAGCGTATTTGTATACATCATCTGTTTAAAAGTATAGTGGCTTTCGGTTGCACATTTCCTGTAACATCTTCCTTTTCCCCACCCCTTAAAAATAGTGAAAGCTTTTACTGTTGTAGTTTTTGTTTGGCACTGTACAACCCTGCTGTTTGTTAAGTTTCTTTTGCATGGTTGTAGAAAGTCATTTCTAACAAATAGAATCTGGGTCTAGGTGGGCAAGAGAGCAGAAAAATGAATGACATTACAAAATGACTAACTTTAAACCACATTGATCTATTGATGGTGAACTAATAATGTAAATATTGTTTGACTTGAAAATGGTCAAAACATAAATGATAGTATTGGAACTAACTGGGTGCGATTGGGTCACTTGTAAATGACTGAAATATTTGCCTTATTGCATGCAAAATGGAAGGTAAAATCTGTTCTCCCATGGCATGTTGAACATATTTGGGGCATTTGTGGGTGGAGCATGTTGTTTTGTTATAAAATTTACTATTTTTTTTCCAACTATTGTTGCATATTTATAATTGGTTATTATTTTTTGTCCATGCATTCAACATCAGCGTTTGGTTGATGAATTTGAAACACAGTCAAACACACTAGCTGAAATGAGTGAACAGGTTGCTTCATATGAGAAATCAGGCAAACAGGAGGCAGCTTCCCGTCTCAGAGAGCAGATGCAGCTGTTGGAGGTGATAAACATTTCCTTTCTCACTCAACATTTTATGCCCGTTTAGACCACTGAATGTAATATTACTTGATTCTCTTGTAGAAACGGTTCAAAGAGGTGCAGGAAAGATTCAAGCAGTTCCATTCAAGCTCATCAGACCTAGAACCTCGTCTTACAAGAGTGTTAAGAGAGCTAAGAGGTGTTGAGGAGGCGACTTGTCTTCTGGACATAGCTTCAGATGACCTGGAAGGAATTGAAGGCCAGCTTAAACATTGCATGGTATGGGTTATTAATAAGTTAGCAACGATGATGATGATCATGTTGATGTTGGTCGTTTGATATTATTTTTATTGTTTCTTTAGAGGTTCTATTGCACTCTAAGTGACCTCAAAGGGGAAGTTGAAACGATTATTAAGAAAGGAAGAGATATGGTCAATGATAGCAACACAACTGACCCAGAAAAGCTCAACTCAAAACTAGACTCTCTGAAAGATCTTTATAATAAGGTGACTACTTGGTCTCGAATGTCCTTTTGCTTTTCATTATTATTCTATTAATCTACATGCATTTGAAATGTAAAATGTTTTTGTTTTTCATTTTTAGCTTGGGTCACAAATAGCTGAATCCAAGCAAGCATTGGAAAATGCCCAAGAACTATCCCTTGGTATGCACAGGGACATACCTGCCCTTAATGAATGGATGGACATGGTTGAGTCAGAACTAGATGAACGGGAAGCTCTACCAATGGCACGACGTGATCTTGAGTCAGAAAGGGCATTTCTCAAGGTTAGCTAACTTGCTTTCTTTCTACTTCCTCCTTTCATTGCATCAAGTAGCATACAACTAGCATAGCAGGGCATCTTATGAAACTTTGATTTTCTTCCATGAGTCTTAAATATGAAGTCTCCATTGAATCTAATTCTTGAGATAAACTTAGCACTGTTTACAGGAGCTCTTGGAGGAAGAAGTGCCACAGTGGGAAACTATGCGTGATCGTGTCAGGTCCTCCTACAAGACTTTCTCATCCATATGTGACCCAGTGTATCTAGAGGTACTGCAAGAGCGTGTGAGTGATGTCATGCGTAGATGGGACCAAGTTATTGAGAGAGCCACATTGACACGGACCACTGTAGAGGTAAAACACTTGCTTGTATTCACTTCTTTTCTTTTCTTGTCCTAACATTAGTGTGTCTGAAATATTCCAAACAGTCATTTTCAGACCAAATTTCAAGTGTTTTGATTTTGAAAACTTAAAATTTTTTTAATGAATGAAATGGTTTTTTAATTTTGATTTGTCTTGTTACTGTATGTTGGCATAAGTTGAAAATTTGTCAGCTTCTTACTAATATTCAAATTTGCTGTCTGTCAAATGTGTTATTGAAATCTAATCTAGTAGCATTGCTTATTTCATTTTATATTCATACAGCCTTGTGTGCTGATAGCTAGCTTGTTTAATTTGCTGAGCACTTTAAGAAAACAGATACCTAACTGAAAATTAAAGACTCTGATAAGCTTCTTTTTTCTAAATTTAGTTAAATGAAGGTCTTTCCATCCCTGCTGGTGAAGGTTGATTGCTTTTTAATGTTCACATCTGCTAGAAAATGGCCAGGTTTACTGAAACTTGTTATGTCACACTGCTTATCCATCTCACCCATTTGAATTTGTCATGTTTGCTGAACTGAGCTGGTTTCTTCCCTAATCTTGTGTGACCTGTTTTAATTTCTAACATTGTGGATTGCGGCTCACATGTAAAAAGTGTTGCACCATTTTTTAATCCTCTTTCTATGATTAAGAGAAATCTGTACATAATTGTAATTTAGAAATGTAGCTGTAAAATTTAGGGTAATAATCAGATTCTAAATATTTGTGATCTATGTGCTTTGTGTTGTGCTTCGTGTTTTAGTTTAATGTAAAATAATTAATGGTTTTTGTTAGGTCAGCTTGTGACACACTGAAAAAGATTATCACTAACTTTTGTTGTGAGGACTTTCATTAATTCTTTCAAAATGTGACATACGGTTGTCATCAATAGTACATTATTTCTGGATGTTGCTTTAAACTGTAATCATATCATGTAGCAATTATCTTAGACTGCAGAAGCCATATTAATGTTGGTGTACTGGTGGAAAGTTTTAACGATTTATGTCACCGTTAAGTTTGCAACCTAATACCTGAAGTGGTGTTCACTCTCTCTGTTCCCACTTCCTCTTCATTCTCTGCATTTTCCCTGCACAGATTTGAATGCAGCACAAAGTGTCCTTTTGTTATGCTTTATGTTCTGGTGGTTGAGCTTCTTGTGGGTATTTATGGAGAACGCAAATTACAGCAGCTTGATACCGGTGGCAGTGGATATTCAGGACAATTTTTGGAGCATACACAGGAAAATTCAGAGAATTCATTGTCCTCGTCCTTATTTTTACAGGGCTTGGAACAAGTTTCCAATCACAGCCCAGGATTAAACCAATCACAGGTATCTTCTTGTGATGCTGGAATACCTTCAGAATCTGCGATTGTGGGAATAGGAAACCCAGCATTTGAAGACCTGGATGATAGTCTGCCTTCGATCAACTTTGCAGAAGAACTTTCTGGGAAGGAAGATGGACCTAGAATTAATAAATCTGAAAGGACTTTCAGAGAAAATACAAGCAGAGTTCCTCAGAAGCATAGCGATGAAGCAGATGATACGTTCCGACTTGCTAAAGACAGTTCTCTCTTCTCTCGGGTGTCAGACAATAATCTTACATCTTCTGATGTTGGAGAACTGTGTTACCATGAGCCTAGGGAACAAAAACTGCAAATGGTAGAGGTGAAAGCACTGGAAATTATCAAATCAGTTGTCACTGCTGTCGAGCCCATGGAAGTTTATCCAAGCAGTTCATGCCATGTGGGACCTCAAACTGTAGAGATGGTTGAAATTCCGGAAGATACTGAAGAGTCTGCCCCTGACACAGATTCTGATTCACCTGCTTTAACAAGACGAATTTCTCCACTTCCTGTTCATGTTAAAAGTTTCTCAGAAATATTATTGAAAGGTAAAGGTGAAAAGCCAGTGCCTTTTCCCAGAAATACCGAATCAGCAAAACCAATACAAGTGGTTGAAGTGAAGCCCGATGAGACTGCTCCTCTCTGTTTGGAAATGACAGATCGTGTAAACAGAACGGAAGAGACAACAGTAACTGCATGGAGGTTCAATGACTCAAAGGATGGTCTCGCTCAATCGACACCTGAGATAGTAAAAGATGCAGGGCCAAAACTAACATTACGTAAGGAAGTCGAGGTTTCAAAAACATACCAGTTGATTGGAAATTACAGTTCAGACTCAGAGGAAAAGAATCAGCAAAGACTCAAGAGTTTAACAAAACATAGTGATGGCTCTGAAGCCATGACATCAGCGTCAACCAGTAGAATTGTCCCCAGGAGAGGAAAGCGAACAGTGACTCAGTATCCCGAAGAGAGGTTGACAGAAGAAGGAAACTGGGATCATATTAAACGAGTGAAGACAGAATCTATCAGAGATGCCGAAGATTGGGATAGAGATAGTTTCTATGGTAGTGACAAAGAAACTGATGATGTTGTTGAATTTTCTGACAATGATTCAATTGTGGCGGCTGTGACTTCTCATGCGATTATCGAAACCTCGGAAGATGATATCTCGAGTTCGGATGATGAGGATCCTGCGTTCTACAACCAAACTGCTGTTGGCAAGGTGGGTTGGCTGTCCTGTGCAAATGCAGGTGCCTCATTAAATAATGATCCATTTTCAGTAATAACGCATGGGTGTTCTAAGTTGATGCATTGTTTTATGAATTGATAACAATTTTGACTTCAAGTAGGGTAGTGTAGTGTAGTTTAATATGAAATGAAATGTTTTTATGTTAACGAATCTTTATTTAGTTTCTTTAGCTTTGCGAAACTCTTACCATTGTATCATAGTCTCTCTTTGATTATGGAAAACTAGTCAAATTACATGAAAAGCATAAACATCTACAAATTGTTTAAAATTGAGTAAGACAGTATTGGATGTTTCAACCTGTTAATTTGTAATTTGTTAGTAGTTAGCTGGTCTATCATTTTCCTCTTACTAGGTTGATTTGTTGTGGTAACCATGCTCTTATGACTATGTAGTGGCATAGTTAGTGCTCTTGTTGTTTTTGAGCTGTGTAGTTATGTTGATGAAATTAGTGAAATAGTTTATAAAAGTAAGTCATGGAGGCTGTTAAAAACCAGGAAAGCAGTGTGACACTTCCACTTTTCTAAAGAGTCTTTCCTATTCTCACTAGTCTTTTAGAAGTTAACTCACTTGTTCTTTCTTATTTTTCTACCTTTATTAATTTTGTTCCCCCACTTACATATAGTGCTTTTGATTCTAGGCTAGTCTTTCTGGTCAAGGAAAGGTAGTTGATGTCAATGACAGCAACAGAACAGGAGAGTTTGAGAAGCATGTGGATGAAGCTCTTAAAACTCCCCGTGTGAGTACATCAGTAGATTTCAAGAGTGCAGACAAAGATGTTGCTAACTTCGAAACCGAAGCACAGCACATGTTAGAGCGAATGGATCAGATGCTACTTGTTGTAAGAAACATAAATCAGCAGACAGATCCAACTCACAGACTGGAGGTAAGTACAGACTTCCCATTATTACCAGTATAAGATAACTTTGGTTGTTATCGACTTGTAAATTCTCTGCTTGTTTTTTCTTTCATGAAGACTCTAGAAAATGAAATTGTAGCTCTTGCTCCTGATGCTGCAACTCTGATAAGCCGTGGAGATGGTTTAGTGCTTGTGGTGCATGCTTCGGATCCAGAGAAAGCAGAATTGCTGAAGAGGACTTCTCTAGACAGACTTCGAAGCAAGTGGAGTCAAGTTATGTCAGAAACTGAGGTGGGAATTAAGTGTCATTTTTCAATGTTTCTTCCTGCGATAATAACGCTGGTGTTATTTTATGAGTAACTGTGCTTTGCAGGTGCGGAAAACTGAAGCTCAGCGAGCTGAAGTTACATTGCGTGAAATGAACAAACTAATTCGAGAGGTAGATTCCTGGCTCCCCAATGTCAAGAGAAAGTTGCAGCATGCTAATAACGATGAGGAACAGCTTCAGGTGATCTTTTCATTAATATGGGCCTAGATCCTCCAGATTATGAAATAAACTTAAACATTCTTTGGGAAGCTCAACCACCAAGATTATTTTTATTCAGATGTCAAGTTTTTATTATGAGGAATTGTGCCAAGTTTATGATTCTATTATCAAATTTTCAAAAAAATCATGCAAATCATTAATGTATTGATCTGTCTGTTTGTGAAGTTACAGGTCCAATGATATATTTTTTCCTCTTAGCTTGGAATGGCTTGTGTTCTAGTTCTGCTTTTGGTTTGGCCATGCTTCCTATTTTGCTTCCTTTGGCTGATGCACAATATTTTGATTCCTTTAGCATAATGCAATGCTAGGAAATGTAATTATTATTCTTTTATTTTTTAATAGTTTCCTGGGGGAAGTTATTTTAATGCTTAAACTTAAATACTAATATTTAAATTTTCACTCAAGGGACTTTTTCTCTCATTATCAAATGCTTACTTGTTATTCTTTTCCCCCCAAAATAAAGAGAGCTTATAAGTGCATGTTTTTATCTCAACTTATGGTCTCTGAAAAGGGACTATTTCCATGTGACTGATTTTTAAAATGTATATTGTCTCATCTTACATTAATTAATTACTTCTTATGTCTTTGGCTACTTTTAGGCTTTGCAAGGTGAGGTCTCTGAGAAGGAGAAGATGATGAGGCAGTTGTCAGAACTGGCTGCAGAGCTAGATATCCAGCAAGCATCCGATGCTGCAAGTGAGAAATTGAAGCCTCTAACTACTCGTTGGGAAGAGCTACAAGAAGAACTGCTGAGGTTCCAGAAAAACCACAAACATGACAAAGTGGTCAGTACTAGCCCTTGAAATTATGAATCTTACCTGTATGTTTCTGTCTCTTTATCTTCTTTTTTCTTTCTTTCATACACAGGTTGATGTCAGTGGTGCCAATGCTGCTTCTGACTTTGTTGTGCAAGTCAACAAAGTTCGTGAGTCTACATCAAGTGTTTCACGGCAACTCAGTGCTCATCCTCTCGGTGGCAGAGACTATGAGGCTTTTCCAGTTCAGGAAGAAGCTCTAAAGGTAAGATCTCAAACACAAATTTAAAATAATATTTTTGTGATAATTGCTGTGTGAGTAAAATTTTGTCTAATGACAATGCAGATGATGTTAAACATAGATTATTTGTATTTTTAGGCTGTTCGTGAAACATTGGCATCCATAAAGCCTCAGGTAGAAAAAGTTGAAAGCGAGCGGGACTCAGTCATACGCTTAGCGTCTTCCCCAGATGTTGCTGGTCAAGTGAGACGAGTATTGGACAAGCTTAGAGAAGAGTGGTCTCAGGTCAATCGTTCTTATGCAGAAAGACATTCAAGGTGGTTGTCAGCACAAGAAGTGTGGATGAATATCCAGTCCGAATCAAAGCAGTTTTCTGAGTGGCTTGACACTGCAGAAAGTGTCATTAATGAATGGAAAAATTCTGATTTGCCAATTGATGTGGCAAAGGTAAAGCAGAAGGATCTCGAAAAGCAGGTTTGTGTTTGCCCATTTAAAATCTAAGCTTCAAAGATCTGTAATTTAAAAAAAAATAAAAATTGGTGTTGTAATTTTAAATAAAATGTAAATATTTGTTGTTTAGGTAACGGTGAAGCACCGAATGATGAACAACTTGAGCTCTACGTGTCGCGATGTGACTGGGAGGCTCGGCCCTGATCAGGACCCTTTCAGTAGAGAAATGTCCTTAAAGGTGGACGAATTAAGAAAACGGTGGCAAGCCGTCCTCGCGGAACTGACCGCGCAGAGGGACAAAATTGCTGCCACCATCTCCCCGACGAAGGATGCCGCCAGAGGCGCTCAGGAGGCAGCCCAGGCGTGTCTGGATCGCGTGGCGTACTTGTTGACGTCGGCCGCGAATCCGTCCGACGACACGTCGCTGTCCGTTCGCCTAAGCATGGTCAAGGTACGTGGGAAGTAAAAGGCCGAACTACGACGAGCCGGGTCAGCAGCTCATTGTCCGTCCATTCTTTTTGGGGGAATTGTGCCGTGCGTTGCGACAGTGGCGCCGCCTTTGCCGGTGCAGCCCAGCCGGTGCCAAAGATTAAAATAAACTCGCGTCTTGGAGCAGGGGAGGAGCGGAGTGGCTGGTGCGGACACATTGCTCAGAGGCGCGGCAAGGGGAAGAGAGAGAAAGAGAAAAGGGGGGGGGGGAGAGGTGCAACGCATCTTCATCGTGTCGCATCTTGCCGGCCAGCCCAGGCAGTGCCCGTGTTGTATTGTGATGCTGCGAGTCGCCGCGCGTCGCAACGCGGCCCCGCTTCTCCCAGCCGAACCAGTGGACCGAAGCAGAGCCGCTCCGCGTCGAACCGCGTGTGCTAGGCTGGCGCGCTGGCACCGTTCTCAAGGGATTATCATGCTTGTTCCAGGCGAGAGACTCTGAGCTGCAGAAGCACAGACGAGACGCCGAGGCTCTGAAGCGCAACAACCCCGCGGTCCAACTGGCCAACATCGAGGCCGCCATGGCCAAGGTAAGTGCATCACTGTTGGATTCCCAAGGGGGTGTGCACGGGCACGGCCTTGGGCACGGCCTTGACGGTGTGCTTGCCTGCAGGCCAGCACCGGGCTGTCGGAGCACCGCGAGTACCTGGAGAGCAAGCTGTCGGCGCTGCGGCGCTTCACCGGCCAGTTGGACGCCGTCATCGCCTGGGTCATGGAGATCAAGACGCGCATCAACATCAGCAAGGACCTGAGCGAGCCGGACCGCGGACGGGTCATCGAGAACATCATGGTGAGCAGCGACCGCGACTGCGGAAGCGACGCCAAGTCGCAGGAAACTTGTTTGGCGCTGCGGCGCTTCATTTGCCGCTCTGTTGACGGCCGCCCTTCCTGCTTTTGACAGACCAACGTGTACGATCGCGACGTGGAGGTGACTGACGTCCTGGAGAACTACAACAACCTGGAGAAGGAGTGCGAGGGCGCCAAGCAGCCCGTCTCCGTCGAGTTGCAGGTACGTGCGCGTTCCAACTACTTCGGTTGAATCCAACCGAGACGATGCTAGAGGCTGATGACGGGTCTCGCAACTGTCGAACAGACCTGGGAGGATGTGCGTAGGGCGCAGAGGCTCCTCGAGGCAGGTACGTGCGGCCAACTCTTCGGTTGAATCCCGAACATGCTAGAGCTGCATGGGGTTCCGCTTACACCGGGGTTCTGGAGGCCCTCTCTGGAGCCAGGATTCGCCTAGCGCGTGGATTCGCCCTTCTCCGCAGACTGCCGAGCCGCGCAGCTGCGCACAGTGGGCCAGACGACCGGTGGAGGCGGTCAAAACTCAGGACGCGTTTTGAGGTCCTGAGTCGTTAAATGGGGCTGGAACCGAACGTGTGACCCCACCAATGGATTCCTCGTTCGTTGAGCAATCCATTGGCGGGGTCACACGTTCGATTCGAGTCCCATTTAGCGACTCTGGAGTTCAAAACGCGTCTAGAGTTTTGGCCGCCTCCGCCGGTCTTCTGGCCCACTGTGCTGCGGGCTGATTCCGAACAGCTGCTTCGTCACTGTCTCTCTCGCAGCCCCTCGGGTCGTCCCCTTGAGTGCGAGAGAGACGGGGCGCCACTGCTCTCCACCCCTCCCCCAACTCCATAACTCAGCGCGCCAAATTTATCTTCCCTTTGTGCTTTGCAGGAGAAGGTCCGCAAATTGCGCGAGGACTGGAACTATGTGAAGAACCGCGGCGAGCCCTGTGCCGTGTCGGCGCTGCCCCTGGCCGCGGAGGCCGCCGTGCCGCCCGCCAGAGCCGCCGTCGCCGCGTCCGCCGCGCCAGGTGAGTCTCCAAGTTGTGGCGTTGATGGAGAGGGACAAGGCGCGGCCAAAGTTGCGTCCGCGGAGTGACGCCGGACGGGAAGTACCCAGATTTACCGCCTTGCAGACCGGCTGCAGCCTGCCTGTCTCGCAGGGGACCGACGAGCGCCGTGCGGGTAGGCAACGCGGTGTGCATGTGTGCGTTGCACCTCGGATGTTGCCTACCCCGCAGGCGCCCAAGAACGCCCGGATGGGTAGGCAACGCGGTGTGCATGTGTGCGTTGCACCTCGGATGTTGCCTACCCCGCAGGACGCCCAAGAACGCCCGGATGGGTAGGCAACGCGGTGTGCATGTGTGCGTTGCACCTCGGATGTTGCCTACCCCGCAGGCGCCCAAGAACGCCCGGATGGGTAGGCAACGCGGTGTGCATGTGTGCGTTGCACCTCGGATGTTGCCTACCCCGCAGGCGCCCAAGAACGCCCGGATGGGTAGGCAACGCGGTGTGCTTGTGTGCGTTGCACCTCGGATGTTGCCTACCTCGCAGGCGCCAACGAACGCTCAGGAAGATAAGACATCGCGGTCGTGCTTGTTTGCCTCGTCCCGCCGGTGTTGCCTACCCCGCGGGCGTGCACTCCGTGGCACTGCGCGGCACTGCGCTACGCACGGCCCGCTCGACGGTGCCGTGACATTTTCGGACTGACCTATGCGGTGCGGCGTCCCGCGTCCGTCTCCTTTCCCCGCAGGGCCGCAGGCTGCATTCGGTTTCCACGCAGCCCCTCCTGCTCGCTCCCCGCCCCTCACAGTGGGCCAGAAGACCGGCGCAGGCGGCCAAAACCATGGACGCGTTTTGAGCTTCAGAATCGCTAAACAGGACTCGAACTGAGCGCAAGACCCCACCAACGGATTCCTCGTTCGGAGAGCAATCCATTGGTGGGGTCACACGTTCGGTCCGAGTCCCTTAGCAACTCTGGAGCTCAAAACGCGTCCGGGATTTTGACCGCCTCCACCGGTCTTCTGGCCCACTGTGCGCCTCCGCCCTTGTGGCGCTCCTTGGTGCGACTCGGTGCGGCCGTCCGCCGTGCGTTCCGATTTATGTTTTTAATTAATCGCCAAACGCGGCGGCAAAACGTGGAGGCTTTCGGCTTGTTTATGGGCTGCGCGACTGCGGCACATGGCGCCATGCTGCGGCAGGCCGGGGGCAGGCCAGGGTCCTTGCGGTCTAATATCGGTCGCCCGGTCGTTTCAGTGCTTTATTTTCTCGTGCACACGCTCGCGAATAATTTTCTCTCGAATACCGCTGATACCTTGCCGCTGCTGCGAACGACTTAACTTGCGAGGGCTGCGACGAGACGAAGCTTCCGTCAGCCGATTGATGACGGAGGAGTGTTTCTGTCCGTCGTACTCATGGGGCGTCTCGCAGGGGGGGGAGAGAGAGAGAGAGAGAGAGAGAGAGAGAGAGAGAGAGAGAGAGAGAGAGAGAGAGAGAGAGAGAGAGAGAGAGACGGAATGCAGGGCGAAGTGGGCTGTCAATGGCTGAGGATCTGCGATGGACTGGGCTTAACATGCCGTGGCGGGATTAAACCTCACCCACGCACACGAGCGCGCGCGCGGCCGTGCGCTCACACGGCCGCGTCTGCTACTCACCCCCACGTAGCACGCGCGCGGACTCCACTAAGAAAAAGAGGATCAAAGTTTGTGAGATGAAATTCCTCTATCGTGGAATGCGTGCCGTGCGGGGCGGGCGGAGTGAGGGCGCCCTGCAGCCCTGCAGGGCTTGCCTGTCCGGAATGTGTCCGGGGCGCCGCGCGCCGCGCTGGCTGAGGCTTTGCCGGTGAAATTTTTATTGTGCGACGTGCCTCGGCGGGCATGAGGGCCCCAGGCCCAGCCCAGCGGGATGGTTCTCTGCTCCGCGTTCACCGCTCTGGCTCTCTCGCGCCCCTACGGGACGCCCCATGAGTGCGAGAGAGACAGCGAGGCCGTGGAGGGTCCAGGGCGCTTCGGCCGCCGGGCGCTGTTGCCTGGCCCGGGCGATAGCGAGCAGTCTGTCAGACTCCGTCATCTTGGACCGCTTTTTGTGAGAATCCGACACGTCGCGTCTCGCTGTGTGTGTGTGGAGAGAGAGAGAGAGAGAGAGAGAGAGAGAGAGAGAGAGAGAGAGAGAGAGAGAGGCGCGTGTGGGTGCGCAGTGTGTGTGTGTGTGTGTGTGTGTGTGTGTGTGTGTGCGCGTGTGCGTGCGTGTGTGTATGTGTGTGTATGTGCCTTATCCCCTGCAGGAGAAAAGCCGCGAGTCCGCACGTCGAGGAAGAGGCTCCTTGCGCGTTTACCGCCTTGCCTTCTTTTCCTTGCCGTCTCGTCGATAGGCCGGTTCGGGAAAGAAAGGCGCGGAGTGGCACGCAGTGGGACGAGGAAGGCTGCGCGACTCCGCGATGCCGCCACGGCGTTATGAAGTGGGAGGGAGAGAGGGAGACAGAGAGGGGGCGGCGCTTGGCTGGGACCGAGTCGGGGGCGCGGGGTTCGTTTCAATATCCGGTAGGCAGCGAGGAGCCCGGCCCGGCCCGGCTAGGCGGCCCCGGAGGCCCCTGGCGCGTCTCGCCGGAAGACGATTTCTCACCGCTCGCACCTTGCTCGCCCTGCACGTCGTGCGCGTCCTGCGCGTCGCCGCGTCGCCGCACCGAGTGTCGTGACGTGCACAGTGGGCCAGAAGACCGGCGGACGCGGCCGAAAGTTCAGACGCGTTTCGAGCTCCAGAGTCGCTCAACGGGACTCGAACGAGACGTGTGACCCCACCAATGGATTCCCCGTTCGGAGAGCAATCCATTGGTGGGGTCACACGTTCGGTTCGAGTCCTGGTTAGCGACTCTAGAGCTCAACACGCTTCTAGAGTGTTGGCCGCAAGCGGCAGTCCTCTGGCGCACTGTGCAGTGCGGGATGCGTGGGGCGAGGCTCCGGGCCGCGAACCGAAAGTTGTTTTGATCGAATAATATTGTTATCGAGCCGAATCCCGGTCGAGCAAACACGCCAAGCCTCGGACTAGACCGGGGCGCGGGCGGCGGGGGGCGGCTCGCACGCAGCGGCGGGGCTGGGCGCGGGGCGGCAGAGCAGGGCGCAACGCGCAGCAGGCACGCCAGCGCACGATCAGCCATCAGCCGCGTGATTTGATTGTTTTGCGTTTTGGTGGCGTGCGCAGGGCCAGGCCCGCCAGGCCCGCCAGGCCCGCCAGGGTTCGGCAGCCCCGAGGACGGCCGGCCCTCGCAGCCCCTGGCGACGTCCACCCCGACGGCCCCCGCTCCGCGCCGGCCTTCCTGGACGGGCTGGGGCGGCCTAGAGGGCGGCCGCGGGACGCAGGGAGCCCTCCGCCCGCCGCTCAGCTCAAGTAAGTGGTCCGATCAGACACGATCTCCTCGGATAGCTGAGGCTGCCCTGCCGGGCCCTGTACAGTGGGCCAGAAGACCGGTGGAGGCGGCCAAAACTCTTGACGCGTTTTGCGCTCCGGAGTCGCCAAAGGGGACGCGAACTGAACGTGTGACCCCACCAATGGGTTCCTCGTTCGGAGAGCAATCCATTGGTGGGGTCACACGTTCGGTTCGAGTCCCATTTAGCGACTCTGGAGCTCAAAACGCGTCTAGAGTTTTGGCCGCCTCCACCGGTCTTCTGGCCCACTGTGGCCCGCCGCGCCCTGCAGGCTGGTCCGGATAGAGGCCCCGACGGCCTGTCTCTCTCGCTCGCAACGGGGAGACCCATGAGTGCGAGAGAGCCCTCCGCTCCGCTCGGAGCCAGCCTGCTGTCCTGTCCTGCCTGTTGATTGGAGACCCGCCGTGATGGCCGTGCCGCGATGGCGCCGGGCCGAGTCTGGCAAGCGCCCTGTCTCTCTCGCACTCAGGGGGCGGCCCATAGGGCCCGTAGGGGTGCGAGAGAGACGAAGAGCTCGGCTGGCGTTGGCCATGGTTGGCGCCTTGTCGGTCTTGTCCCATTCCATTAGGGTGGCAGTGGGACAACTGCACTTCGCACGACACCCGACCCGTCAACGCCATGCTGCCGTCCCGTCCCGCCGTCCCGTCCCGCCGTCCCCTCCGGAGCGCCCATTTAAACGGGATCGTTTTTGTTTCGCGTTCGTTGCTGCGAATGTCGTTGAATTCATGCACCGCGCTCTGCGACATCCCCTCCCCCTTTCTCTCCCGCCTTTCGGAATTCAGCTCGCAGCCAATGTTTTGGAGAATCTGAAATCGATGGTCAGGGAGGAGCATTTTCGTTTTCAATGCTAGGGGCGGTGCACGCGCGGCACAGTGGGCGAGGGCCAAAAGCTAGTGGAGGCGGACAATACTCTAGACGCGTTTTTAGCTCCAGAGTCTCTAAATGGGACTCGAACCGAACGGGTGACCCCAGCAATGGATGGTTCTCCGAACGAGGAATCCACTGGTGGGGTCACACGAGTCACACGTTCGTTTCGAGGCCTGTTTAGCTACTCTGGAGCTCAAAACGCGTCCAGAGTTTTGTCCGCCTCCACCGGTCTTCTGGCCCACTGTGCGTGGCACGAGTTGTTGGTACTCGACGCACCCCCTTCCCGTCCCCCCGAATCCATTAGCCCGTCTGGCGTGTTCATGCTCTATTGTGCGGCATTGGAGCTGGTCCATATTTCCGAGATACAATATTTTTTACCATTTGTCATGCTGCGATATTGCTGGGGCTACACGCTTCTGGGGAAAGGGGAGGGGAGGGGAGAGCGCGATGCCATGGCAGCGCCATGGCGATGCCATTCATCAAAGCCTGGGCCCAATGTGTCGCGTAGTGGGCCGCGGCTGCGGGCCGCTGGCCGGCCAGAGTGCGATGGCTTCGCTCTGGTCAGCTTGGGACGGACTGCTGCGGCCGCTTAGCCTTAATGCGAATCGGGCCGCAGTTCTTTCGAAATTGAGGCTCGGTCTGTACGTTGCGCGGCTTGGGAGTGCCGGTGCGGTTTCGGCGCCCTGTTTGCCTAATTACGGACGCGGGTTGCTCGTCCGTTCTGGACTCCAGTCCGACCCAGTCAGCCAGCCCCGATCCCTCCATACACTAGACTCGCAATTGGGGGGAGGGAGTCCCGTTTGCCTCTATTGACATGGGTAATGGGCCAGGAGCCCTCCTCAGCCGCCACGGCAAGCCAGCAGGAGCGCCGTAAAATTTAGCCGTCAGCAAGCTGGCTCCGAACAAGTTCTCCCGTCGGTCTGTCTCTCTCGTACTCATAGTGCGTAGGCGTGCGAGAGAGAGAGAGAGAGAGAGAGAGAGAGAGTGAGAGTGAGAGTGAGAGTGAGAGTGAGAGAGTGAGGGAGAGAGACAGAGAGAGAGAGAGAGAGAGAGAGTTGAGAGTTGAGAGTTGAGAGAGTTGAGAGAGTTGAGAGAGTTGAGAGAGTTGAGAGAGTTGAGAGAGTTGAGAGAGTTGAGAGAGTTGAGAGAGTTGAGAGAGTTGAGAGAGTTGAGAGAGTTGAGAGAGTTGAGAGAGTTGAGAGAGTTGAGAGAGTTGAGAGAGAGAGAGAGAGAGAGAGAGAGAGAGAGAGAGAGAGAGAGAGAGCGGCGTGGCTTTCCGCTTGGGGAGTGATTTGCAAGGACGCTGCGCCCTGCGCGCTGCGCCTCACCTGGCGGCCCGGCGGGAAAGGCAGGCGAGCAGCGTAATCGCTTTTGACGCGAAGCCAAAATCAAATTAGCTGTCCCGAGCTCTGCAAACCGCTATTAATTGGGTCGGACGGCGAGACAAATTGGGTGGGTCGGCATCGGGAACGCAACATTTTTCGTGCGAACTGCATGCGGCCGTGAGGAGAGTTCGAGGAGGAAAAGGGGGTGGGGTGCGATATAATAGGGATTGTCCGGTCCGCGCTGGTAAACATTCCTCTGTACTGTGTGGGATGGTTTCGGGCATGGCTGGGCGTGCCTTCGGCGTGCCTTTCCGCGGTCGAACTACGTGGATTTCGCTCGTCCTCCCCGAACTAATGGCGGACGTGCAAAATCGTATAGTGGAATTTGCTGCCGGATACAGTGACAACAGCAAGAACTCTGAGGTCCAAACTCAGTTTGTTCCCGGGTTCAAATTTCGTCCCGGCCCCTCGGCTTGGGAGCCGTGGGTGTTCTAGTACCCCTTGAGTGTTCAGAAGCCGCGGGAGTTCAGGGAGCCCCGTGAGTGCTCAAGCCGTGGGTTTGCTGTTGGCCGCGGGAGTGCTGGGTGCCCCGGGGTGCGGGTCGGGGTCCCCCTGGGGGTCCCTCTGGGGGTCCCGGCGGACGGCCTCAGGGTGGCGCTGGGGCTCCGCGGCCCCGCGGCCCCGCGCATCGAGCACTGCGCGGCGTGGCGCGGCGTGGCTGCAGGGGTGGCCGCCGGGGTGGCCGTACAACGTGCAGCCGTACTCCGTACTCCGTGCCGGGCCGGCCGGGCCCCGCTTCGGCGCGGCGCCGGGTGCGTCGGCCGGTTCGGGCGGCGCCACTTCGGCTGGCTTCGGCTCGGGGGTGCCTCGTGGGGTGGGGCGTGGCGGGGCGTGGCGGGGCGTGGCGGGGCGTGGCGGGGCGTCTGGAGGGAAGGGTAGGGCCGTGTTGGGCCCAGTCGGCCGCCCGCGCTGCGCCGCGCTGGAGCCGCCCCTGTGCGTCGCGCCGCCTCCGCGCCCGGACGCCGCGCCACGCGCCAGCCGGCGTCTAACAGCTGTGCGAGTTGTGCGAGCTGTGCGCCCCGCCGGCCGGGGGCGCCGACGCGGCCAGCACCGGCCAGGGTGGGTGTCGTGACCGCCGCGCCCGACGCGGACCTGTCAGGCAGCTCGGAGGTGCCCGTCGTGGCCTCGGCGTGGAGTCGACGTGCAGCTCGCGGACTGGGCGTGTCTGCCGCGTGGGAAGCTCCCCGCGCCTTGTGGCGCACGGGGTGCACGGCGTGGAGGCCGCGCCTCGCCCCGTTCGTCGCCGGCGGCCCGTCCTTCCGCGACCCAGCTGCCTGGACTCTGATTTCGAACAGTGCTGTCGTCGCCCTGTCTCTCTCGCACCCGTGCGGCATCGGCATCCCGCCAGGCCTGTGAGGGCGAGAAAGCCAGAGCGACGGAGCACAGTGGGCCAGAAGACCGGTCGAGGCGGCCAAAACTCCAGACACGCTTCGAGCTCCAGAGTCACTAAATAGGACTCGAACTGAACGCGTGACACCATCAATGGTTTGCTCTCCGAACGAGGAATCCATTGGTGGGGTCACACGTTCGGTTCGACTCCTGTTCAGCGACTCTGGAGCTCAAAACGCGTCTAGAGTTTAGGCCGCCTCCACCGGTCTTCTGGCCTACTGTGCGGAGCAGGGCTCTACCTTGATTGGCCGCCACGGGGTCCGCGTCGTCGGCGTCGTCGGCGTCGCCCTGTCGGCGGGGCGGTGGCGCGCGCTGACGCGGAAACAATAACGGGCGTGTTGCGGTGCCGGCGCGCCTGGCGCTTGGCTGCGTGGAGCTTGGCGCTGCCGTGGGACTTCCAGCCTCCCCTCGCCGTCCGGGCCGTCCGGGCCGTCCGGGCGGAAAGGGGGAGGGGGAGGCTGCGCAAGTAGCCGGCGTGGCGCCAGCGCGCCAGCCCCGTAACAGCACGGCCTGCACGTTTCGCCCGACCCGGCGGCCCCGGCGGCCCTGGCGGCCCGACCCGGCGCCGGGCTGTGTCGGACACGTGCTGACGAATGCGCCTCTCGCCCTGCCCTCTCAGGTGACGCCGCGATGTGACCCGGGCCGCTCCCGCCCCCACCCACTACATATCCCAGCCATATCAGCAACCCAAAGTGAAACTTAACGAGAGTAACCAGCCCACGTGGGCTGCGAGTGTGTTCGTGTGTGTGTGTGTTTTCCTCTCCATCTCTCTCGCCCCTCGGTCGTCCGTCCGTCTCGACTCTCCTCTTCCTGGACTTTGAGTCTGCGGATCGACTAGTTCTTCCTCGTGAAGTGAAACGGGTAAGTTTGGACCGCGTCGCTTTGACGGGCAACTTTTCAACTAGTTTGGGTGCCGACGGCGTCGTGGGAAAGAGGGAGGGGGGGGGGGTCGATGAGGGGTGAAGCAAGGTTCTGGGGAAGGGATGGGTTGTGGTCGAATACCCTGTTGAGCAGCTGCAAAGTGCACGGTCCACCTTGTGTACAGGCAAAATATTCCCAGTGCCTCGCTTCTGTTGCCAGGCCTTTTACAAAAAAAAGTGTTCGACCACAACCAACCCATCCCCTTACAAAACCATGGTAAGCAGCCACGTCGCAGACGGCAGACACCTGTTTGTACCCTGGCAAGAAACAAAATAGTCCCCGAACTCTGTCGTGCAAACGCGTCGAGGTGCTTCGGGCGCTTCCCTCACTTCCCCGTCGGCCGTAACGGAGTCCGCCACCCCCGCGAGGCGCTGGAGGGGCTCAGAGTGGGACAACATTGTGCTGGCCAGATGGCATCGCGCAGCCAAATGTCCTCCCCGCGCGCCCCACAGTGGGCCAGAAGACCGGCGCCGACGGCCAAAACTCTAAACGCATTTTGAGCTCCGGAGTTGCTAAATGGGACGCGAACCGAGCGTGTGACCCCACCAATGGATTCCTCGTTCGCCAAGCAATCCGTCGGTGGGGTCACACGTTCCGTTCGAGTCCCATTCAGCGACTCTGGAGCTCAAAACGCGTCCAGGATTTTGGCCGCCTCCACCGGTCTTCTGGCCCACTGTGCGCCCCGTCCCACGACACGGCTCAGACGCCACGGACGGCACCGTCCTGCCGGTACTTATTGATTTCCAGACCGGTCAGAGTGAGGCTTTGCCTGGAGGATGTGCGTTATTTTGCGCTCGAGAACTCGGGGGTTTCACTAAAGGACCATAGTTGTGAGTTATGGCACTCCCCCACAGCCCCGCCCCGCCCAGCCTGCGTGTTATGGTGCAGATGACGGGCTGCGGTGCAGCGGGCAGGTCCGCGGTGTGACCCACCCTCCTTGCCGTCCTCATGGCGAAGCTTCCTGTTCGTTGTCACGTTCGTATCCCTTCGTCAGGCCCCGCTGTGATACACCGGCAAACTGTCCCATCGAAACAAAGTCAATGTTGTGTTGTTTATAAAACTAATCATTGACGTGAATTGACGTTGATTGTGTGCAGTTTTAATTGATCAGCAGTTTCGCGTTAATTCAATGAGAGCCGTTTCTAAGTGTTACGTGGTAGGATCGTTCTGATCGACGTGAGCACTCTGCTAAAATGGATTAGATCTCTGTCCGGAGACCCAGGTCTGGGATTTTTTCCCCAATCTTCAGTGGTGAGCGCGCCTTGCTTTGTTCTAAGCCAAAGTTAACGGCTTCAAAAGTCACACGTGCGTGTTGTCAGCGACGCTGTGTGTGTGTGTGTGTGTGTGTGTGTGTGTGTGCGCGCGCGCGCGTGTGTGTGTGTGTGTGTGTGTGTCTAGTGGTGTGCCACCACGCTGTGCGGGTCGCCACCCTCCCGACGTGTTCTCAGCGCGGTGAGCCGCATGTCTTCTCATGCAGGACCCCGCGATCCTTTACTCTACTCACTCCGTCGGGGGCCAAGGCAGGCAGGCAGGCAGGCAGGCGGGCAGGCAGGCAGGCAGGCGGGCAGGCAGGCAGGCAGCCTCCCCCACTCCTGCTTCTGCCTCCCCCGCTACTCTGTTAATTAATTTGGCGGAGGGCCGTGAGTCCTTGATGAATCTCTTGACATGATGCTAATGTAAGAGTTCGCAGGCACGCCGACGACATGGCGACGACATGGCGAGCACTCCGACGAACGAGGAAACGGACGGGCGCGGCGCACAGGCGAACCAACAGACTCACTAACACACTGTTATTTTCCGAGCTGCCTGCGAATACCAGGCGTTACGAACTTTTGCCGTGCAGGGACGATGGGGTGTCCATTTAGGCAGTCCGCTTCAGCCTCTCTCTTTCTTCCGTCAGATGACGTCAGGTTTACCTGCTTCGGTCAATGTTTGTGTTGACACGAACAGGCCGAACTGGCTGTTAAGAGGACAACGGTAATAACCGACACCAGGCCGATGCAAGCTCGAATTTAGCGACGAAAAGAAAGGGGAGAAACCTTTTTCCTTGTTGAATGCACCTCCCTTCCACCTTCGTGCTCGGCACGGCACGGCACGGGGTGGCGCGTAATGGCAGAGGGAGGGTAAGAAAGATCCACCCATCACTGCGCAATGCTGCGGAGCCGTGCCGAGCGACGTGCCGGGAGGTAGACCGGGAGGGTGCGCACCGCTCTCTCTCTCTCTCTCTCTCTCTCTCTCTCTCTCTCTCTCTCTCTCTCTCTCTCTCCACTCGCACGCGCACAAAATGCGTCGCTTGCCCGGGAGGCCGCCGAAGACACGACGTGGGTGGGGTGCGGCAGCAATACCGGACTGCCACCGCAGTGGGCAAACCGCAGTGTGCAACCGTAGCGCACAAGAGACCGACCCTCTTGTACGCGCTATTTAAATAGACAGTCAATTTAAACAACCAACAATCGGCGGAAGGTCACTGTCATGTTGGCGAGAAAATCGTCGCTGAAATCGCACTGTGTCTTCTCTGTTCCGTTACCAACTTGTACGTGCAAAGTATGACGTCATAGAAATGAAGGACCCGCTAAAAAGAGACCACCAGCACAAAAACGAGGCATTAGGAGGTCCGGTGGTCGCCGCTGCCGGGCGGAGCGGCCGAGGGGGCAGCAGCGGGGGTGGCGGGGGCTTTCGGGCGGGAAGGAGCCGATGATGACTCTCATCTCGTATACCTTGGCCAGCCCTGCAAGGCCCTGGCCACCGCTGGCCGGCCGTTGGTCCATTAGGTCGGAGTGGACGCCGTGCCGTACCGTGCCGTGCCGTGCCATGCCATGCGCTGGCCCCAGCCGTGCCATTCCGCCTTATGGCCTGTTCACCGGCCGGGCTTTGGTCAGGGCTGGCCGAGGCCGGTGAGATGCTTGAGTGCAGCTAACGGCTCAGGGCAAGGCCTGGCAAGGCAAGAGCCCTTTTTGCTCTTTGTCCGGCTAGGCTGGCCGCGCCGGCATGGACCGGGGTTAGGTCCCGTTAAAAATGATTGCATTTCCGCTGGTGGGTCATGGCGGTCCAGTCAGCGAGCTGGGCTATGGCGCAATTTTATAAGAATTTAAGTGCGGCTGATTCAGTTGGTGCGTTGGAGGTATTGTGTTGCTAACTTAGACGGTGTCTCAAGGGAGGAGAGGGAGGAAGGTAAGGGAAGGGAGGTAAGGGAAGGAGGGAGGGAGGAGGGAGGTAAGGGAAGGGGGAGGGAGGTAAGGGAAGGGAGGGGGGTAAGGGAAAGGGGGGAGGGAGGTAAGGTAAAGGGGGGGGAGGGGGGGGGAGGAAGGGGGAAGGGAGGAGGTAAGGGAAGGGAGGGAGGGAGGGAGGGAGGGTCTGCCTGCAGAGGTCGCCGCCTGGATGCGCTTTGGGCCAGCGAGATGGAGATAAGGGCGGAGCGGAGGGACCCGCAGAGCTGCAGGGCGCGCCGTGTCTCTCTCGCAGCCCTACGGTCTGCGCCGTGAGGGCGAGGACGCAGCTGAGGGCCCACGGCATGCGTCAGCACGTGCGGAGGCCGGCAGGGCACGCACCTTGAGGGCAGCCCGGCCCGAGGCTCGGCCGGAGGGCTCCAAAGGGCCAGGGCGGCCCCAAGGGCAGCCCCAGGGCGTCTGGCTGCAACTTTAAAACGCGATGGCGCCTTCCAGTGTGGGCTGTGGTGTGGCGCGGGCCTCTCCCTTCTGGTCGAATTTGCGTCCGAGCCACGCGTTTTCTTCGTGTTTTTGGCTGAGCGATAGCGAAGCCTGTTACTCCAGTGGGGTTGAAAAGTTTTTTCTGTCTGTCTGTCTGTCTGTCTGTCTGTGTGTCTGTGTGTCTGTGTGTGTACACTACTCCTCCTGAACGGCTCGGCCGATCCGGCTGAGATTTTGCAGGCTTATTAGGTATGTCCTTGGCTCGGCACACGCGAAATTTCACCATCCTAGCTCAACTGGTTCAGATTTTATAGCCGAAAAACACCTAAAAAACGGCGAAAAATCGAGTTTTCTGCAGGTAGATCACCTCTGTCTTGAAGAAAGTGGGGTCTGGGGGGCTCCGCCCCCCAGCCCCGACAAGTCAAAAAGTGACAAGGGTCATGGTCGTGTTATCTGCCGATGAAGCAACTCTCTAGAATTAAGGGGGGTCTGGGGGGCGGAGCCCCCCAGCATGCAACACGGAAGAAGTAACCGAGGATGGACAAGCCAATGCCTGCCGAAGGCAGGCTAGCGCCGCAGGCCAAGGTAGGTACGCCAGGCGCGGATTGAAGGAACAGGCCGCGAGACATCGCGAAGCCTGTTACGACAAGACGCGGTCTGGCGTAAACCTACCTTGTTATCTTGGCTCAGGAATCAACTTCCTTGTTGCGACGAAAATAATTTCAATCTGTGAAATCATGAATTTTTTCCTCGACTGGACTATGGTTTTACTAAAGTTCGGGCAGCGACCCTTTGCCCGTCCCCTGCCTCCCCGTAATTCATGAACTTCTTTGTGGCGGGCAGGGCCCAGGCAGGGCCAGGGCCAGGGCAGGGCGAGGTGGGTCGTGGGTGGCCTCTGTTGCGCTTTCCTTGGCTCCTCAAATGTCAGACGCCGAGTCGAGGCAAGACAGGGGCCACGCCATCGCAGGGGGTGGGGGCCGCACGGCGTCGTACGGCGTCGTACCAACCGGCGTTTAGGGTGCCGGCCGAGCCGAGCCGAGCCGAGCGAGGGGCCGCGCGCTTCCCACGCGTGCGTGATTAACGAGTGGCTGTGGCGCCGTGGCGCCCTGCGAGGCCCTGCCATTGACAAGGAAGGATCAAGGGAGTCGCACTCGCTCGCCCTGTGATTCCTCGTTGCCAAGCGAACCGCCGAGGCCGAGCCCCGACCGCGGCCCCGACCCAGGACTCGGGGGCGGAGGGGCCTCGTCAGCCCGCGTGCAGGGCGTGCAGACCGTGGCACGCATGGCGCCACCCCTCCCCTCCCTCACTGGCGGGCTTGTTGGCTTCCCTGCAGGAGGTCTTGCACACTGTGTGTGTGTGTGTGTGTGTGTGTGTGTGTGTGTGTGTGCGCGCCGGTCGGTGCGGCAATACCACGCGAGCTGCGTGACGACGACACGTTGAAAAGTCAAACGTCGCTGTTGTTGTCACAATGTTGTTACCGCTGAGCTCACTTCCTAAGAGCTCTTACCCTTCAAATTCGCCTCAAATACTACCACAAGCGCTGTAAGGCCTCACAGACCTTTAGCGTTGGAGTAAGCAACTGCAACAAACACAGGACTGAGACTCGAGGGGGGCACCACTCTCATTTCAGTCGTACACAAGATTACAGGATTACGGGAAATTTACTAGGGATTACGCGTGAAATTTTCGAAAATTGGTTCGAAAACGTTGAAAAATAGCTCAAAAACGTTGAAAATGACTAAAAACGTTGAAAAATGACATAATTTTGTCAAGGGTTACGTGATTACGCCATGGATTACCAGAGATTACCAGCCAATTTGTACACAGGATTACGGGGGTGGTGGCCCCCTCGCTGAGACTGCAAACTTGAAATGCAGGCAGTGTCTTGTTTGAGGCAGTCACCGTCAGGGACCGCTAAATTACCTACCTGCTTGTGACGGTCCTGCACAGTAAATTCCTTACGTTGGAAGGCTGCACCAACATTTATGGTGGAGATTTTCTCCATAATACCAACGAAACTCGTCAAAATATCTATAAGGTACAGTGAATTCTCAATGGTATGTTACGAAGTCAGCTGCGCCACCATAATATGGAACATTTTCACCATAATATGGAGAATCTTCACTGTAGAACATTTAGAGTGTGTGCGCTGCGCCGCGCTGCAGCGGCCAGATGGAGGGCTTTATGGGCTTCGATAAAAGCTAATAAGGGAAAGGGACAGCCCATCGTTCACAGCTTTCTCTCTCCTTTCGCGAGTAAGTTCGGCGCGCAGCTTACTCAGGGATTGCCCGCGGAGCCCCCAGAAATCTCGTACATTATTTATGTCGTGCCTGACTGGGATCGGATATTGATGCGATGCGCATTCAATTTCTAGGTTCAGTTCCTCGCGCCGGTTTGGTCCTTTTGGGGCGCGGCCGGTCGCGGCTCCCCTTCCCGCCTCGCAACAAAGCGCGCATTTGAGTCCGCTTTATGTTTTTGGCGCGTGGGGCCGCACAGTGGGCCAGAAACCGGCGCAGGCGGCCAAAATTCGAGACTCGCTTTGAGCTCCAGAGTCGCTAAATGGGGCTCAAACCGAGCGTGTGACCCCACCAATGGATTCCTCGTTCTGAGAGCAATCCATTGGTGGGGTCACACGTTCGGTTCGAGTCTCATTTAGCGACTCTGGAGCTCAAAACGCGTCTCGAATTTTGGCCGCCTGCGCCGGTTGCTGGCCCACTGTGGGCCGTTGTCATCTGGACGGACGGGGCGTCGGAGCGGCGCTGTCGGCCGCGCCTCCATCAGACTCGTAAAAAAAGGAGAGAGGAAAAAGGAACTGTCAGAAACACTTTGGTCGTCGTGTGGAATTGGCCCTCGACGTTCGATTTCTCTCCTCCGGCCTCGTTTGCCTCGACACGCCGGGCAGGCCGACGGCAGGCTGGCGGCGAGCAGTCTCTTGCCGGGTGGCACACTCTAAATGTTCTACAGTGAAGATTCTCCATATTATGGTGAAAATGTTCCATATTATGGTGGCGCAGCTGACTTCGTAACATACCATTGAGAATTCACTGTACCTTATAGATATTTTGACGAGTTTCGTTGGTATTATGGAGAAAATCTCCACCATAATATGTTGGTGCAGCCTTTCACCGTAAGACATTTACGGTGCATGCTGAAAACCTTAACGTGGTCTACACGTTTGGTGCGGACCTCAGTCGCCCAGATGATCGGTGATGACCGCAGCCTCATGGTATTTCAGTGCGCTGTCATGGGATTTGTGTCACGGGATCCCATGCAGTCCATGGTTTTTTGGGACTGGGCTGAATAGGACCGTATCCTTAGAAAGGCCTTAAAGGCAAAGTATACCTTTGCTATAGAGGTCAATTTCCCGTCTCAGTTCGGAAACAGTGTTGCCGCAAAATGGGTCGAAACGGTGAATGTTGACCAACGCCATTTCACAGGGATGCCCTGCTTCGGCCGGCTGGCCCGTATACCTGTTCGTCCTCTAGATGTACAGAGGACTAGACCACACCAAACGTGGCCAAACGTGGTCTAGACCGCACCAAACGTGGTCTAGACCGCAGACCGCACCAAACGTGGCCAAACGTGGTCTAGTCCACACCAACTGATGTGGTCAAAATGGCACCCATCTGACCGCACCAGTGGTGCGGTCTGGACCACGTTTGGTTTTTCAGTGTGGTCGAGTCCCTGCACTGTAAGGCTGCCAGTCGGTGGTGCGTGACATGAACAACCCGCAAGGCAATGCGCCAGACGCCAGACGAGCAGAACGACGTGGAATATGAAGTCGTGTCTGTGCGAATTCTCTTGCAGGCACACCCTTAAAACCTTACGAACTACTTTGAACATACATAGTACAAACTAATTTACTTTGTTATACAACGAAGTAGTTTGTAAATTACGGAGTATTTTCTCTGTAACTTTGTTATTACAAACTGCTTTCCTTTGTAAGCCCTAAAATAGTTTTTAAGGTTTTCACAGTGCACGTCAGTTTTGTGAATGCGATCTTGCAACGCTTCCGAATAGGGATGAATTGCCTTCTTAATTTTAAAGTCTTTCATCAGGGCGTGCGCTGCGAAAACCTTACAAACTATTTTAGGCCTTCCAGAGAAAGGCAGATTGCTATAACAAAGTATTTTGAGCAAACATAAGCTTACAAAGATAATTCTTTGTAATTTACGAACTATTTCCTCGTAGAACAAAAGAAAATAAGTCTGTAGGTACTATGTGTGCATAAAATACTTCGTAAGGTTCTAAGAGTGTTGGTTGCTTTTCGTTGGGAGTCTTGCCTGATGAGCCTCAGGTGAGCAGCGGGGACAAGCTTCGTCGGTGCCGGTCGTCCGGACCATTCCACCACCCCACTCCCCGAGGCGTCCGTCCCGTTGCCATTTATCAATTTTTCATTCTTGCGACTTTTCCCCCCGAGGAATGCGGGAGGTGGGAAGTGTCCCCAGTTTGTCGGGTGATATCCGGCAATGCCGCAATTAAATTCCTGGGCGTCTCATCCGCCGATATTGGCCGCGCGACGCCTCGGCAACGCGCAGCGCGGCGCCCCACAAGCCGCTTTTCGGCCGGGCTACAGTGGGCCAGAAGACCGGTGGAGGCGGCCAAAACTCTAGACGCGTTTTGAGCTCCAGAGTCGCTAAATGGGACTCGAACCCAACGTGTGACCCCACCTATGGATTGCTCTCCGAACGAGGAATCCATTGGTGGGGTCATACGTTCGGTTCGACACCTGTTCAGCGACTCTGGAGCTCAAAACGCGTCTAGAGTTTTGGCCGCCTCCACCGGTCCTCTGGCCCACTGTGCGGGCCTGCCTCTGAGATGAGGGGTGAGTCTCGGCGAACGTTCCGGAACGGCCTGTGCCAAACCCCCCTTTTTATTACAGTAAAAAAATATTTTTCAGTCATATTCTCCAAATTTATGGACGTCTTCGTAAGCTACTCGCAATCGAGGCGTTGGAAATCCATAATTTGTGCCAGCGTGCTGCACGAAAGAGAATTATTCAGCAGTCTGCCCGGGCCCGGCAGTGCCCCGCACCGGGCCGGCGTCCTGGGGACCTGTTTTAGCCCGGCCCTGGCCAGCCCTTCTAGTCAAGTCACTATCGGGGCCTCACACGCCGCGTCGCTGGCGTCCCTCCCTGGCAGGGCGCTGGCCGCTCTGGCAGGGCTGGCATCCAGCGCGGACTGCAATAAATCCTTGCCTTCTTGTCTTGCGCGGCCAGCCGGCCAGCCACGCTGGCAGCCAGACGAGTGGGTCCGCACGGGGCGGCCCACGGGGCGGCCCGGCCAGCCGAGGGTGAAGACCGCTCGGGTCGCACCGTCCCCGGCTTCCTTGGATGCAGTGGATGAGTCTTGGATGCCGTCTGGACCGCCTCGGGGGCACCGTTTTATGGCGACTCGTACCTCTTTCGACCTTCCCCCGGCAAAGTCTTCCTGCTCGCGATACTATAGTGCGTCAACGTGAACCGGGGGGGCTTACCTCTGGCGGTCCTCGCTATCGCTCCGGGCACCTACAGGAGCATGCATGGAGCCTCCGCAAAAATCCCCTTTTCTTCTTTCCTTCCTCGTGAGGCTATTCCCCGAGTCGTCGAACGGCGTTGTTTTTATTCCGCTCGGAGCGTGTTTTGTTCGCCGACTGCAGTTTCACTGCAACTCGTCGCGACGCCTTTGCCCCCGACGGCGTTCCCCAGTGAAGACACGACGCACCGGGAACCGAATCGGGAACCGGGTCGCTCCTTCGGCGTCCACGTCTTCGTCCCATTCCACCGCGCCCCGTCCCGCTCCGCCCCGAAAAAAAAGTTGCGGTCACCGAATTTTCTGCGACGGGAACGTATTATGCACAGGGATCCTGAATGTACCTCGGAAGGGCAGGCATCAACGTTATTGTAAGCGTTCAATTTATGACCGGTAACTGCACTGCAAAAAATCAGTGTCTGATACGGAGCATGCTACGGCGTTCCGTATACCGCCTGCAACTGCAAGTTATTTTTCTGCCCTCTCGAGTTTGTATTTGGAAGCACTTGCAACAGTCCATACCCTCAACCTTCAGTGAACATTGTCTTATGCCTGTTACGTCACGTCAAGGATCCCTGATTGAGCAAGATTTTGAGCTTATCATGCATCGTGCTCGTGTGAAGAACAAATAAATGACCCGTAGGCGGCCGCCGGGTCCTGTCGGCAGTACCATAGTGAAAATTTGAGTCGTTCTGTGATGACAATTTCAAGGCTAATTTTCCCTACAATGTCATCAAAACAATTGATGTTATTGTTGTCACACCCAGGAGCTTTTGATGGAAATGTCAATTTGTGATGAGATTGTCACCATTTGAAAGTGATGAAAACGTCATCAAGTGACAATAAATTTTCACAGCGTGATGGTTCGTCGCGGACGGTGGATCGCACAGAAATTTGTCTCGTTGGGGTCGCGGGAAAATGGGTCATCTGGCCATTGTTTCCCTGTCCGATTGCGGGTCTCATTACTGCTGCTTATTCAAGTCGCCGCTGTTCTCGGTCTTTCACAAAATGGCGCCTGGATGGCGCGGGGTGGCTGGCTGCCCGTTGATTCAATTCAGGCTGCTTCCGATCCGTTGCTGCGTCTCTCTCGCTCCCTCCGTAGGACGTCCCGTGAATGCGAGTCCGAGCACTGTTCGAAACCCCCTCGCCGCGCCTCACCTCGCTGCAGCGCGCTGTGGAGGCCGATTGCACGGAAAAGGGGAAAACAGCCTTTCGGGCGGGGCAGGGCGGAACCGAAGGCAGATCCATCTCTCATCCCGGAACCTGGCCCTGCCTGGCTCGGGGTCTTAATGAGCCTTTTGGGTAAAATCGGCTGTTCCACGCGTCTGCCGACGGCTTGCCGACGGCTTGCCGTGTTGGCCAGTCCTTTGGCCGGGTGGCGCTTTCGTCGCTATCTCGCTCGTCCTCATGATGCTCCAAGGGAATTCAAGAGCATCCCAGCGAGCAGGTCGGCCGGCCGAGACATAAAAGGGATTCGTCCGGGGCGGCCCACGTTTTGACCTCCACAGTTCGACACAGCCCAGAGAAGGGCCCGGAGGAGGGGGAGGGCTGAATAGCGGTGATCAGTAAAGTATCGATTCGTTTTTCGCATCCTCAAAGTCTCGGTCCCTTCGGCCTCCCCACCCCTTCTTCTTTTTGTGAATATCACTGACTTGTGATTCAGGGATATCCTCTTTCGATGCACAGCGAATAACATTAGTCTTTGAACTCTGTCGAGTCGTGTAGTATTTCCGCGTCGCTGAGTGCAGAAGTCGGCATTGAAAACGGGAACGTCTTGAATCAGGTAAAAGCGTCGCTGACAGTCAAAGAACTCGAAGCGTGCTTTTCGTTGTATATTTGCATGTTCGTGGCGGGCGGACACTTGCATTTCATTTTGCATCTCAACATTTTCATCATTCAAACGACATTTTATCGATACCCATACACGTTTCTGCGCATTAATAGAATTTCGTGAAGAACCTTAACAGACTTGTCAAGACGAAATTGCTAATAATGTTTATAAAACAATTAAAAATCTTAATCTTATTAATGCGCACAATCGCCAGTACGGTATTAAAAAAATTCAGTACGAGTCTTAGAGTGAACTTCGTCGTCAGAATCGGGAAACCCTGTGGTCGGAGATTGGCAACATTTGAACGGGGGAGGGGTACCGCACTGCATGCGGACGTGCTTTATGCACTCGCCCTGGGCAGTCTGCCTCGCCAGAATTGCACCTCGCTCTGCCTCGCTTTGTGGAAAGATAATGAGGCCGGTGCACTGAGACAAGCGAGACGGGCTGCTGGCTTTGATCTGCTCGGTGCGTGATGGAAAAGCTAAAAGACTGAAAGCGCTGAAAGGCGGGGCTGCACCTCTTTGCGGCACTGCGTCTCTGTTTTCACTCCGTTATTGCCATTCCGCGGCCGTTCAGACGCCACCGCCTTTGGCAGACGTTTTTTGGCTCACGCGACACTCTGCGGTGGATAAAAACCGCTCTGACATCGCTGCACTCGTGGTAATTTTGTCAAAATATCATAAACATGTGTGAAATTCTGATCAAAATTAACACACTTCTAAAAGCTGAGAGTCTGAATACTTCTTCTGATATTGATGGCCTGAGTTTTACGGAATGTCAGAAGAAGTTTTCAGCTTTCAGAGGTGCGCGAATTTCGATCAGGTTTTCAGACAGATTTCTCAAATTCTGACAAAATTTACACGAGTTTGTGAAACCCTTGTAACTCACGCATCTTATGCGATTGCGATTCGCTTGCAACGCACCAATGCAATGCGCCCTTTGCGTCTTTGTTCCGTTGTGATAAACTTTTGTGGGATCTCGCCTCATTCCAAGCCCATCCTGACGCACCTTCGCGAAGGCCTGCCGTAGATAGACCCTAAGAGAGGTAGACAGACAGGCAGGCACTCGTTGGCTCAGGGCCGTAAGTAGCCCAAGCCGTCCGGCATTTAGAGTAAAGTATGTACCAGCTGTGGCACTGCCTGGCACTGCCCCGTAAGGCCTGGGCGTAAGGCCTGGGCGGGGTGGCGGGGCCCGTGTCCCCACGGCACAGCGCCCCTCCTCCTGTGTGTCGACAAACAGTGCATGTACGCCACTCTAGTTAGAGTCGGCGTGGCAGGCACACCTAGCGGGACCCCGCTGTTAAAAATGATTCCTCGTTTTGCAACAGCTTATGTGATTCCTTAATAAAAACCCCAACAACATAAAGATGACAAATTTTGAACTTTGAGCCTAACTTTTGTAATTGCGAACCCGAGTTATAAATGCGGTGGTTTCTACCACCTACCTCCCGTTCATGTGACCCTGAAGCTATGATACCGCCCGGCCGCACTCTCGAGTGGCATTGACTGTTTCAGTTGATTCTTTCGCGGTCTATTTGTGCTGCCAACACTGAGAATATTTGAGTCGTCACTTGATGACAATTTCAAGGCTAATTTTCCTTACAACAATGTCATCAAAACAAAAACACGCCCATGCAATATGTATAGGAGCTTTAATGAAAATGTCCTCAATTTTTGATGAGATTGTCACGAGGGGTGACCCACTGTAAAATTTTGTGTACAATGATTGTGTGAATGTGCAAGAATGTGCAAGATTTCTGGCGTTTTTGCCACACTTGTTGCCTACTTACAGGCGTTTTTGCCTCCTGAATGTGGAATGTGGTCAAATTTTGTACAATGAATGTGGGAAGCTGTTCCCCCTCGGATTGTCATAATTTGAAAGTGACGAAAATATCGTCCACGTCTTTGTCATAAAGTGACAACAAATTTTCTCAGTGAAGCCTCGCCGAGCCTAACACCTTTCTTCCGATGTTGCAGCCGACAATGCCGCTCGCCCCCGGCCGCTCGAGACGACTTCACCGAGCTCGGCCGCCAACAGCCTCCTAGCCAGCTTCGACAAGTCCATTCTACAGGTGAGTTTTGGCAAGTTGGCTGTCACCCTTTTTCTTCCTTCCCTTGAACTCTCTCTTCCTCACGGGCTGGGGCTCGCTGGAGCTCTGGCCGGGATCCCTCGGGTCGCGCGAGGCAGGGTGGGGCAGGGCGACGGGGTCGGGAAGCGGGGCCGGCGAAATTACCTCCCGGCTGGGAAACGGTTTTTGGGGACCCCGCGCCTCGTGGGCCAAAGGGTGGAGGGAAAGGGGTTCGTGTATACGGCGACTAAAGGGATGACAGTCGGTATCGCTCAACTCGCGGCCTGGGAGGACTGGCAGGCTTTGCGTGGGAGGGGGTGGGGTAGGAGTGGAAGGCACCGCACACCATGCCTACTCTCCAGGCGCCGCAAGTCCTGGCCCGGTCCTACTAGGTCCTACTCCCCAACCTCATCAGCGCATTACTCTGGACCGCTGCTCGCATCCGGGCCCAGAACCCGGCTATTCACACTCACACACACACACACACACACACACACGCCTCCCCGCCAGGACGTAGTGGTCCCGGCTCATCAGCATTCGCCTGTTTTGAGTGGCGAGACGTCCCGACCGTGCCGACGCCTCGTGGATCGCGGAACCGCGCGGTGCGACCTCACCCTTTCATCTCCATTTCGTCCCTCGCCTTTTTCTTCCCGCCCGTTGTCGTCCTTCTTGTTGTTGTTGTTGTTGTTGTTGTTGGCGAAACGCCTTCTCGCCCCGGCCGTCTCCATTGCCTGATGGATTGCCGCCCTCTTGTCTTTTCAAAGTAGGCGTTTGTACGCGTTTACAGCCCCACCCACCCCCTTCCAAGCCCCCTTCACCCCTTGCAGCCTGCAGCAGGTTTAGCCGCCTCCTCCCCCTCCCTTAAAACCGCTCCCCGGCCGCTGCATCCCCGCCGTCTCTGTCTTGTTGAAAGGCGTGAAAATTTTTTTGTTTTCAGGCTTTTAATGGCCCTGCGTGCAATGCTTTTTTGGGGGGAAGGGGGGTTGGACAGGTGGAAGGCTTCCGTCGAGATGCCGCTGTGTAGTCTGCGATCTGCGAGACGCCAGGTCTGTGACGAGACGACAAGCTGACGAGCTGCAGACAGCGATCGATGCGGCCTCGAAGCTGTTTCGTGATATCGCGGCCAGTGCGATACCTCGTGCACTGTAAAAAATTCCGTACTTTTGTACGGAAATGGTACAGAAAAATATAGTACGGAGGTACGGAGAAAAGTACGGAACGTTCCGTACTTGCTCCATATGAACCCATGTTAATGGGTACGGGGAAAAAGTACGGAACGTTCCGTAGTTGGCAAGTACGGACGGTCCAGGCAAATTATTGACCAGACATGTTCCGTACTTTTTCCGTACTTTTTTCTCACAGTGTGCGGTGCGGCCTGGGCCTCGGCCTGGGTCTGCGCGCCGCGACGCGCGCCCCGTTTCGTGTTTGCAGACGAATAGCGGAATACGTGAATCCCGCCGCGCCCTGACATCTCATATTTCGCGTGGTGCGGCCGAGGAGGACGAAACGCGAAACAACAACAACACCAAAAATACCGGTGTGAAGGTGCCCGCGGCAAAGGTATCCCTTTCGTGTGATTGGGGCCGATCTTCCTTCTTTGAGGAGAATGGATGGGGCCCGTGGGTCGGCCTGGGCCTTAGCCCGTGGGGGTGCGGCCTTTTGCGGCGCCGGCGCGGGATAGCGCGAAACTAGATCTGGAACACCGCCGCGGCGCGCCGCCTGGACCCGGGGGACTTGGGGGGGGGGGGGGGGGGCGTCGGCTCTGTGGCTTTTCATCGCAGGGACGATTGTTTTTCCTCGCGGCTTGAAAATTTCAGCGAGGACGGGGCGACGGGCTGTCGTGCTGCCACACCTCCGCCTGCACCCTCCCCTCCCCCCCTCCCCCTCCCCCTCCTCCCCGCCGCCTCGACCGCTTTCAAATCATTTCCTCGCAAAGTTTGTCCACAAGCGAGCGGCTCGGCCGGACCGCCAGGCAGGCACTTTGCGAAGAGGAAAAGGGGTGGGGCAATCTCGAGTACAGTGTAACAAAAAAAAATAAAGAAAGAAAAATGAGAGAAACTTCAAGGAAGTTTTGTTTGAAGGAAGTCGTTTTAATGGGATTGCGGTTCGCGGCATGTATAGTACGTGTCTTTTGCGGCTTGGTGGTTTTTTTATATTTTTGCCATTTTATGAGTGAAGGGGTAAGGGGAAGTCACTGAATTTCAGTTTCAGTTTCACTACTGAAGTTTGAGAAGAATTTCAATGAATTTTTTAAAAAGTTTAATGAATTTCAATGAATTTGAGTGAATTTTGGTGTACGAATTCGGCTTGAGTTATTTCCCCTTGTGAAGGGGTGAGAAACTGGGTGCGTGTGTCGAGTGTGTGTGTGTCGAGTGTGTGTGTCGAGTGTGTGTGTCCGAGACACCTCGTCCTGGTGGGTCCTGCTGGGACTGCGCTCCCCGTTAGCGGCCCCTGCCTCGCAGCACCGCGCACAAATTGTCTCTCTCGCTCGCCGGCTCATTTCCGGGGCCATTTCCGCTTCTGCCTGTAGTCTTCCCGTGTGGACTCTGTCGGCTCTCTCCTCCGTCTCTGCACCATGGCGGCGACAGGACCCGGCAAACGACGCGCCTTGAAATCAATTTCAGTCCGTCGCTGCAATGAGGGCATTGTGTGGGGCTGATGGGACGCCGGGATGGCGATAGGCAGATACGAGCTTCGCATTGTTTGCTTTGTTCGTGCCCAGAAGAAGCTTTCATGAAACTAAGGCAACATCATTCTTGTAATGGAGAGCCTCGGTGTCCGTTTTCTTAACTGATTCGGAGAAATTTACCCGGACATTTTTCTCTTCATGAACGCTTCACTGGGTGTGGTCGTCACTTCCAGCACCGCCCAGCCATTTTCTTGAGGCGGCCGCGCCAAGAGTGTCCCGCTCGTATCACAGAAGCGTGGCCGAGATGCTGTGGCCGTGGCTGCGGTCCTCAGTGACCGACCGAGTCGGAAAGTTAAGCACCGCCCAAACACCCGACGCTACACACCCCTACTAAATGTGGGGGCGGACTTCCCCCGACGGACTTCCCCGGCGGATCCAGGACCTCTCAGGACTTTCCAGGGCCTTGCAGGATGGGACCCACATCCCTTTGATAAGACTGGTGGCCGTGCTGGAGGCTGAAGGCGCTCTCCGGGTCCAGCGACGGGACAGCAGGGCCCGGCGGGGCCGCGGGCTGCAACAACCACATCGCACTGCACTGGCTTCCGGCTTTGACTTGTGAAAGCTTGGTCCACAAATGATCCTCTGGTTTCCAGACCCGAACGGACCTGCCAGAGAAAGAGGCGCCCCTTCCCCTTGATGATTTGCGCCTCCAATGCCCCCCCCCCCCCTAAAAAACGAGGCTGCCAGGTGCGGCGTTTCCAGCAGTGCCTCCAGGAACGTTCCCGAAACGACTCGGGACTGCGGGGCGGCTACACTGGAGTCAGTCGTCGGATTGCGCGCTATGCCGCTCCAGTGCCACTTGCAGAGTTGCCGCGCCCTGTGCCGTTGCAGCCGTTGTTGTGCTGGACGGACGACTTCCGACCGCAAACTGCCGTGGCTCTCTCTCTCTCTCTCTCTCTCTCTCTCTCTCTCTCTCTCTCTCTCTCTCTCTCCTCTCCTCTCCCCCTCCCTCCCTCCCCTCTCCCCCTCCCTCCCTCCCCCCCGCGGGGCATTATGCAGCGCGGGACACGTGTCGAAACAAAACGAACAGCACTGTATCTAATTGGTGAATTAATGATGCCGCGACCCGCCCCGATTGAGGAGGCCCCCGCCATGGGCCCTGCAGGCCAGACCGCGTGCATTCCGCCTCTCTCTGCTCGATTTTGAATTATGGATGAGCGGTTTTTACTTTTCAGCGGGGCCCTCCGGCTCCGGCCTGCCCGGGGCGGCACACAGTGGGACAGAAGACCGGTGGAGGCGGCCAAAACTCTAGACACGTTTTGAGCTCCAGAGTCGCTGATGAGGGTTTGAAACAAACGTGTGACCCCACCAATGGATTCCTCGTTCGGAAAGCAGTCCATTGGTGGGGTCACACGTACGGTTCGAGTCCCATGTAGCGACTCTGGAGCTCAAAACGCGTCGAAAGTTTTGGCCGCCTCCACCGTCCTTCTGGCCCACTGTGGGCCGGCGGGGTCCTTAGTTTATACCCTCTCTTGGCCGGGCCCTGCGCGGCGCGGTGCTACCTGGGGACCTGACGTGCGCCCCGCGGCAGCAGGCTTACTCCGGAACACTGCCGCTCCGTCTCTCTCGCGCTCGTGGGGCGTGGGCGCACAGTGGGCCAGAAGACCGGTGGAGGCGGCCAAAACTCTAGACGTGTTTTAAGCTCCAGAGGCGCGAGGAGGCGCGAGGGAGATGGAGCCACTGCAGCGCCGCTATACGACACGCCCCCCCCCACTCCCTGGGCTGTGCCGCTCCCCCCCCCCCCCCCCCTTTCCCCCGCCCCCCCCGGTCCCTACTAAGGTGACCTTTACGGCGTATCACGTGTGCGGTCATTGCGTAATTGCGTTATTTCCGGCAAGCTAGTGAAAAAGAAAGGGAAAAAAAGGTCAACCGGCCTCACGCGAGGATCGTCCCCTCTGTAAACAGTGCAGTAGCGCGCGTGCCGTGTTCCTGCCCCTTGTCTGCATGTGTCGCACTGTCAACAAGAACTAAAACCACAAAAACAAAAAATAAAGCACTCACCTTTAAAAAAAAACACGAATCGATTGGACGTAATAGTTTTATCCACGCAAGCGCACTATTATGAACACAACATGCACGCCACGTTGCACTGTAATTTACGTCGGTTTGCAGTGAGGTGACTTGATTGCGATCGTACCTGTTATTTACTCTGCATTTTTTCCCTCTCTTTGCAGATTCGCGATTGGCTGGCAGTGGAGCAAGAGATGTTGCGACAGCAGGCCGTGGTCGTCGGGGAGGTGGGGGAGATCCTGCAGGTTCTCGACAAGCAGAAGGTAAGCAGGGCGGAGCAGAAGCCGTCGGCCCGGCGCTGCACAGTGGGCCAGAAGCCGGTGGAGGCGGCCAAAACTCTAGACGCGTTTTAAGCTCCAGAGTCGCTGAACAGGAGTCGAACCGAACGTATGACCCCAGCAATGGATTCCTCGTTCGGAGAGCAATCCATAGGTGGGGTCACACGTTCGGTTCGAGTCCCATTTAGCGACTCTGGAGCTCAAAACGCGTCTAGAGTTTTGGCCGCCTCCACCGGTCTTCTGGCCCACTGTGTGTATGCATGCGTGTGCTTCTTTTCGGCGTCTTTTCCAAGTTGCCGAACTTTGTTTCCGCGTGGGGGGAGCTCGCTGCTTGTGAAGGCAGCCCCGCGGCCCCGCGGCCCCGCGGCTCGGCTGCAGAGAGGGAGGAGCGCCTTCGTCAGGTTAACGCTGTGGTCTAATGATCGCCGTGTAATAAGAATGCGCAATTGTATTTTTGAGAGCGTACACTCTAAATGTTCTACGGTGAAGATTATCCATAAATGTTCATATTATGGTGGTGCATCTGACCTCGTAATATACCATCGAGAATTCACTGTACCTTATAGACATTTTGACGAATTTCGTTTTCATTTTGGAGAAAATCGCCACCATAATATGTTGGTGTAGCCTCTCACCGCAAGACATTTACAGTGTAGTGCCCATGGCGTGCCATGGCGTGTACCGAGGTAGTATGTACGCAGTACAGTGGCCTGCGCGTGCCACGCCGTGCGCCGGCCGGGGCGGCAGGGGCGCGGTCTTAGAAGCCCTTCGACGACCCAATCCGGTCATTTTCCGCCCATCATTTTCCGGCTTCACACGTACACACGCCACGCTGCTGCTGTCTCTCTCGCACCCCCGCCGCGCGCACCCTCAGACTCGCTCTGAGTTTTTGTTCAACAACGTATCGACGTTTGGGCGCATTAATAACCTTATTTGTATTACAAACATGAATATCAATTTCGTCAAGCTTTTTAAATTCCATTCATGCGCATTAACTTCAATGAATATTGACAACATAACGATTGACGGATGTGTGTGTGTGAGTGCGAGGTGATGTGTGTGGGTTCAGCCTACAGCCAACATGCCGGGGGGGCACGGTGTGCCCCCCTCGGAGGCGCGGCGACGGGGGGAGTTTTGGGGGCTTAGTGTAGGAGGACCTCGTCGACTTTTAGTGCAGCCTGGCGTAATGTAAACGATACCCTGTTCATTAGCGGCCGTTTCTGCCGGGCCGGACCGGGCGGGACGAGCCCCAGTGTAGGCGTTGCCAGCACGCATATTGCACACCGAAGTTACGGGCTGCCTTAAAAGGTTTGTCTGCCGGCGACGGGGGGGGGGGCGAGGGAAGTGGGGGGGGGGGGCGTGAACCGTTTAATAAAAGGGGATGGGGGGGGCAACAAAGAGGACAGGTACCGCGGGGCAATTTTGGGGGACGCGTTCGTGCCCACTACCCCCCAAACCCCACGCCTCGGGTTACGCCCCTCCAGGCGCCCCCAGGTTGTTGCCTGAAGTGGGGGCGAGGGAGCGGTTAAGCGTGGCGGCGGCCCGGGGGGGGGGGGGGAATTTTATTTGGGGGGGGGTTTTTTAAATTTTTTAAAACCTTTTGGCCGGGGGGGGCCCTTTCGGTGGGGGACGTGGGGGCGGGGGGGGTTTTTTCCTTTTTGGGGGGGGCCGGGTTTCCTCCGGGCCTCCCCGCCCCCTTCGGCCCCGGATTGGCTTGTCGGATTCAAACCGCATTCCTAATGGGCACTGTCCAGTGGGCCGCCTTTAGCCATTTGGCATTTGGGGACATGTCGTTACAGTCGTGATGCTGCCCGTTTCTGCCGCCCCTTTCCAAATATGGCTGCCCTACGCGCTCACGGCGAAAACCGTAACGCCAAGTACTTGGACCAGGTGCAAGGTACCAACTGTGGTCTCGCATACAAAGAATTTTATTTTGTCCAAGGAACGGGGCACTCTTTGTTAACTTAAATGTAAACTCAAAAAAACCTCATAGAAAAACCCCCCCCTTTTCCCCTTTTTTCGCGTTCCCCTCCACCCCCCCCTCTCACTTTCCTCCGTGTCGTGTTGTCAACACGCGTGTGGCAGGGACGCTGCGCCGTGCCCGCTCGTGTATTGCGTCGGAATGCCCTTACATATTTGCGCTGCCGACGTGCCTGCCTGCCCTCTGGCCCTTCGCCCGGAGTGGAGGCTGGTTCCTGTCGAACTCTCTTAGCGCCGCGCCGCCCGTTCCTACGCGACACTGTCAAAACTTGGCCGGGGAGTCTTTCGGCGTCCGTGCCAGTCCGTGCTGATGCGGTTCGTTTTGCCCGCTTTTGCCCGCTTTTGCCGCTGCTGTCGCGGCGGGGCAGGGCGGGGCGGGGTGGCCACTTCAAGTTCCCGAGTGGCGCGACATGATTTGCATGGCGGAGTTGCGGGCCTCGACCCGATTGGTCCGGCGTTCGACTGCGTGGGGCTGCGTACCAGTGCAGTCTCTGCTCAAGCTTCAAGGGGACTTGGTGCGGCGCTCGGACACGGTCATTTAGTTTCCCCCTGATTTTAATGGCCCCGCTGGCTTGCGCTGGCCGGCCTGGCTGGCCTAGTGCTGCGCCTTGTCTTGGCAGCGCCCTCATTCCGCTAAGAGCCTCATGTATATTTTAAAGCAAGGCGGGGCGGGGCGGGGCGGCCGGCCCGCGGGCGGCCGCGCCGCCCCCGCCGCGCCGCCCCCGCCGCGCCGCCCCCGCCGCGCCGCCCCCGCCGTGCCGCCCCCCCCCCTTCATCCCCCTCGTTACCTTATCATTGTCACGCTCGTACGCACACGAAGACCACTCCGCGCGGACACGACTCCGCAGGCACGTTTCGAGCCCGGTGTCTTCAAAAAATGTGCAAAAACCATCGAAAGATATGACGCGCTACCAATAGACTCCCGCAGTATTTTTCGGACGGGTTTTCAGCATTGGCAACCTGCACGGCCTTCCCTTCCCCGGCGCGCGGAAGGCGAGCTTTCTGGCTTTTCCTGCCCGCTGCTCATACCGAGGCTCACGCCTTCCTTGATGGGATGAGGCCCAGTGGCAGGCGGCCCGGACGGCCCGGACGGCCCGGACCGAACGGCTTTGTTGTCGTTCTCTCTCGCACTCGCATGGCCTGCCCGAAGGGCCCGAAGCGCCCGAAGGGTGCGAGCGAGACAGAGCGCCGGCCTTGTTGCTGCGCCTGAGGCCCACACATGGTTAAACCTGCCGCGAGCGCACCGCCTTTGCTTTGAGAGCGGGCTTGGCCGCGCTTGGCCCTTGGGGCTGGAGAGGGGCGGAGGGATAGGCCGAACCAACAATGGACGCTTATTTTGACAACGAACGAACAGCCCGAGTGTGGTCGCTTCCCTGCATTCGGTGATGCATTTTACATCGAAGTGCGCGCCGCTGCAGTGATAAAATTTAGAAAATCGAGAAATGATTTCTCTGTGTTCCCTTTGTCTTTTCGCGGGTTTTTCCCTCACCGTGTGGCTGAGCCGCTAGGGCGGCTTCCGCGGATACACAGATGAGCCGCGGTCGTAACAGCTTGTTTATGACCAGTGTACCTGCGGGGCCGTAGTGCGCGACGGGGCGCTGGGACGCGGACGCGAGCCGCGAATATCCGGAGGACCGGACCGCTCATCCCGCGTTTATCCCCGCGTGCCTTGCGCGGCCTAGCGCGGAGAGGTGCGGTGCACAGTAAATGTCTTACGGTGAAAGGCTGCACCAACATATTATGGTGGAGATTTTCTCCATAATACCAACGAAATTCGTCAAAATATCTGCAGTGAGGTACAGTGAATTCTCAATGGTATGTTACGAAGTCAGCTGCACCACCATAATATGGAACATTTTCACCATAATATGGAGAATCTTCACTGTAGAACATTTAGAGTGTGGGCCTTAGCAGCGAAGGGCAGCCTGGCAGCCAGGAGCGGGGACTTTCTCTCGTGCGGACTGCGACAATGTCGTCGTCTTTCCGTGCATCGTGGACTCTGCCGAAAGTCGTACGATTTTTCGAAGTCGACCATTATTTTCTCCAAGAGGAAATCGCTTTGAATTTCAGTGTACAAATCCAATGAATTTCGGTCGAATTTTGACGAATTTCAGTCGAATTTTGATGAATTTCAGTCGAATTTCGAAGAATTTCAGTCGTATTTCGATGAATTTCGGTCAAATTTTGATGAATTTTAATAAGTTTCAGTGAATTTTACATGTTTGATGAATTTCGGTGTGCATATTTGGCTAGAGTTATTTCCCCTTGATTTTCTCCCTGTGTTAAAACAACAACAACAACAACAACAATAACAACAACCACAACACGGCGCAGTCCATCCGGTGGGCGCACAATCACTGGGAATGAGGGAGGCGTGGGGGTGGGTCCCACCCGGTGGGAGCGTCCCTGACTCGTCTCTGACTCGTCTCTGACTCACTCACCTGATGCTGCGGGCCGAAGGGGCAGAAGCCTCCCTCGCCGCTCGCTCTGGACTGGAGCAGGCGATAGTCGGTCGGGATTAACCTGAGAGGGGGTAGAAGGGACACGCTGGAATCAAGAGGCCCTGCTCTTCGCTTCAGGTGTGGTCTGAATCAAGGTTTATCACCGCACAGTGGGCCAGAAGACCGGCGAAGGCAGCCGAAACTCTTGAAGCGCTCTGAGCTCAGGACTCAGGACTTGAACCGAGCGTGTGACCCCCACCATTGGATTCCTCGTTCTGAGAGCAATCCATTGGTGGGGTCGTACGTTCGGCTTGATTCCCTTTAGCGACTCCGGAGCTCAAGAACGCGTCGGGGATTTTGACCGCCTCCACCGGTCTTCTGGCACACTGTGCCCGCCGGCAAAACTAGGCCTGAAAAATAAAGTAAAATGTATTTGCACGCTGATGACGGTCTTTCCCCTTGCCGGCCGTGCCGCTGCACACAATGCCTCCCCTCCGGGATGAAGCACTGGTTTGCCGGAAGCGCGCGCGGTGTCGCCGGGGCTGGTTGACGGGTCCGAGGGAA